TAAAAAGCCCTTTTAACATTTCCTGCAGTGCTGGCTTGGTGGTAATGAATTCCTTAAGCTTATTCTTTTCTGAGAAGCTCTTTATCTCTCCTTCAATTTTAAGTGATAGCCGTGCTGAGTAGAGCAATCTTGGTTGTAGGCCTTTATTTTGCGTCACGTTGAATATTTCCTGCCACTCCCTTCTGGCCTGCAGAGTTTGTGTAGAAAAGTCAGCTGTTAGTCTTATAGGAGTTCCTTGGTATGTAACCTGCTATCTTTCTCTTGCTGCTTTTAGGATTCTGTCTTTGTCTTTAACCTTTGCCGTTTTTACTATGATGTGTCTTGGTGTGGACCTGTTTGGGTTCAGCTTGTTTGGAACTCTCTGCACTTCCTGGGCTTGTATGTTGATTTCCTTCACCAGGTTAGGGAAGTTCTCAGTCATTATTTCTTCAAATACATTCTCGATCCCTTGCTTCTTCTCTTCTCCTTCTGGTATTCCTATGATGTGAATGTTGTTGGGCTTGATGTTGTCCCACAGGTCTCTTAAACTATTTTCATTGTTTTTTTATTCTTTTTTCTTTTTGTTGTTCCAAGTGGGTGATTTCTGCTACTTTGTCTTCTAAATCACTGATCCAATCCTCTCCTTCATCTAATCTACTGGTGATTCCTTCGAGTGTGTTCTTCATTTCAGTTATTGTATATTTAGTTCTACCTGGTTGTTTTTTATGATTTCTGTATCCTTCTTTATGTCCTCCCTAAGTTCCTCAAAAATTCTTATCATCAGTGTTCTAAACTCTGTCTCTGAAAGGTTGGATACCTCTGTTTCATTTAGTTCCATTTCTAGAGGCTTCTTCGGATCTTTTACTTGGGACATGTTTCTTTGTTTCTTCATTCTGGCTGTCTCTCTGTGATTGCTTCAATGTATTAGATAGATCATCTATGTCTCTCAGTCATTGCTGGGTGGTCTTGTAGTATGTGTCCTTTGTATTTGGATTTCACAGTCTCTGTATTTTCCTGTCTCATGTGTTCCAGAAGTGTCACTGTTGAAGTTTCTCTTTCATTGCTTTTGGCTTGTCAGAGGGTGGGATTGACCCTCAGACTGATTCGCTGGGAGAATTAGCTCTGTTCACAGTGTATGAGCTGCTATGTGGAGGTTGACCCCCTCAGAGGAGGCTTGGCCACTATGGGCTCTTGTGCCTGTGGAAAATGTCCTTTGAGAGTGCTACTTGTAGGTTCATCCAGGTCTCTGGTTTTGTCTAACACTGGCCTCTGGATGTATTGGTTCTGGTGTCTCTTGGGCGGGGCTCCCACTCAGAGCCATTTCAGACCTGCCTGTTACCGGTCCATAGCTACCTGGTGAGTTCCGCAAGTCTGTACACAGTTGGCTGCTGCCCATGCTGGACCTGGGGTCATGTGGGATGGTCTCTGTGTGAACTGAAGTTGGCTGCTCCCAATATTGGTCCTGAGGCAGTTTAGGAAAAGGCCCAGGGCCCCCTAGGCCTGTTGCCACTGTCAGATGCCCATAAGTCCCACCTATTGAAAGAGACTTTTTAGGGGGTGTGTCTGGCTATTTGACCCGGTGTTAAGGGTGCCTCTGCGACATGACACTAGCTTGGCAGGATGCAGTTCAAGTGAGTTATGTGACTTGATTGGTAGTTTTCAAGACGTTAATGCAGATTAAGGTCTTACACCAATACCTGGCCTGTGACCCCTTTGTATAGCGTCCCAAGGGCACTACAGCCAGGCTGGCTTCCTTTGAATGATCATGGGGTGACAATGTCAAAAGGATAAAAATGCGACTGGACATAGCTGTTCAGAGTGGTAACTTATCTTTTGATGTTATTCTCTGCTTCATCCCTGCCAGTGTTATCCCACCCACCCAGAGGAAAAGCTGAAGCCCCTTCTATGACCTACAGGGCCTCAGGTCCTGCCCCTGTCACTCTTTCCCTCCCAGCCACTCCATCGTTGTGTGGAAGCCCTGTCATCCAAGAGCACACTGAAATGTGCCCTGCCTGGGCCTCTGACTCACCGCCCCCTCTGGCTTGAACTCTCTGCCCTCCCACAGCCCAGGCCTTTTTCTCTTACCTCCGGCTCTTTATTCAATGTTACCTTCTCACTGGGACCTTCCTCAGCCTTCAGACTTTATCTAAAGTTTCACACACACACACACACATTTCATAATCCAGTGCCTTCCGCCCCTCCTCTCCCAAGCACTAACAGCACTGAATGCTGTAGAATATACACATTCATTTTCCTCTTTGTGATTCTCTAGAACAGAGCCTGGCCCACAGCAGGAGCTCAGTAAATGTGGCAGATAAACAAGTGTGCAGATGAACTCACTGTGCCTCTGCCCTTGACTCGAGCTGGCTCAGATGCCTGGCAAAGCCAAGTGGAGGCATTGCTGGAGAAAGGGGGCAGTGGGGAGGGGGAGTAGTGAAGGCCTGGAGAGAGGTGCCCCTCCAGAGGGCAGCCTGCCCCACTTAGCTCCAGCCCATTCAACATCAGGCTGCCCACACCTCATTGTCAAAGGAAAAAAAAAATCAGATTTATGTGCATCTTCCCTATCCTTAAACTTGGCTACTTGCTGAGCAAGCCAGGTCTGGCTGCCCGTCGTCTGCGACCTCTGGGTCAACTGGGGCTTTGTCTCCACTAGAAGCTTGCATGTGTCATAGAGCTGCTTGCCATGAAATAAAGGACCTCAAATATGGAATTTCCATGCGATCCATCAGTCCCGGGGTTCCGGAGCTGAGAGCCAATCGATTTATGCTCTTACCGGTGAACCTTGACAAAGCTATACCCCTGCCACACATCCTGGGTGCAGTATCAATTTAATTTTACACCTCTCGAAAGCCAGGGGCCACCCAAGGCATGTTTGCAGAGTCAATTACTGGTGAGGCCAGACACTAGGATGGAGCTGCCCAGTCGGAACGACAGAGTGGAACCATGCGCCTGCCTGACCCGGGTCCTCCCTGCAGCTGAGCAGCAGGCACATGCACAGCCAGCTACCTGACTTCTGCGCGGGGAGTGGCTGCACATGGTCAGGGCAGGCCTGTGGGCTTTAAAGTCAGACCAGCAGAATTCCATGCCTAAACCTGTGTGACCTTGAGCAAGTTACTAGCATCTCTAAGCCTCATCTGTAAATTGGGAATAACATTGTTGCCCAGAGTGGCCAATGGAAGGATCTAGTAAGCTTTCGAGCATGCTTGATGCACAGTGTTATTGTCCTCTCCGGGGGATCAGGCGGAAGGGAAGAATATCGTGCCCTCCCAGGTGTGTGCTGGGGGTGCAGGGGCGGGGGCGGCACCTGAACAAGAACACGCCCTGTCCCTTCCCACAGTCTCATGCCCGACTGGTGTCTACATACTTATACCCTGTGCACCCCCGATGGTCGTCCTGCCTGCATTGAGTATCTGCAGGCTGCTTTGGTCCTGTGTTCTCTGGAACAGGAGAGCTGGGACTGGGGGCCCGGGGGTGGGGGGAAGCTTGGGGACTGCAGGCTGCAGGAACAGGGAACCCCAACCCATGGCCTCACAGCATAGGTTAACTTCTGCCCACACTGCCTGTTCTGGGTGGGCTGGGGGACCCTGCTTCATGTCATTGTCATCTTCCAAGATTTACTCGGTGAGTATCTGCCAAGTTGAAGGCGGCCGGTGCCATTGTGGAGACAAGGAGAGCGTGACAGGTCATATTCTGGCTGTCAAAGCTTCTGCCTCCTGGATTTGTCTCAAGTCACTTGTCACATTTCACCGGCCAGAGTAAGTGGCACGGTCACTCATAACCACAAAGGCCAGAGAAGTACAGTCCTTCCTTCTGGACCCATGCCTGGTGGAAGACCGGACACACCTGTGGACGTTGCTAAGGCTGCCCATTCCCTATTTGTGCATGAATTGCAATGAGCAGGCTTTTTAAAATGCTCTCACGTGACCCTTTTTAAAAACAGTCCTGGGGGGCGGGGGTGGGTTCTGTTGTGATTCCCATTTCACAGGTGGAGAAGCTAAGGCTCTAAGAAGCCAGCAGCTTGCCTGGGTGGACAGCGGTGGAGCTGGGGTTCAGGTCCAAGCTGAGACCCAGATGTCTGGGTGCTTAGGGTTCCCGCTTCCTGTCCACCCCGCCTGCCGCCAGGCTGTGCAGGCAGGGAGGGAAGGGATGAACCATCATCTGGGGGAATAAGACTAATCCTGCGTGGGTTCTAAGGGGGTGTGTTTGCTCAGGGAGCAAGAGGTGAGGGTAGGTGGTGGGAATTCAGGGTTTGGCACTAAGTCCTGAAGGTGTGTCACTCAGCCACCAAATGGCCTTTGATTGTTCCTTCCCTCCGCTGGAATTCTGCTTCCTCAACCTTAATATGTGGATGGCAGCAGCTCCCACATCACTATTTCAGAGCAGGTAAGAATTTGACTCTGAAAGGACCTTTGCAAAGCCAGTGGCTCTGGGACATTCTCTGGGTTGTAATGGACATTCTTGTTTAACCGCTGGGGGCACATCCTGGAGGGGCTGAGGTGTGTGGGGCAGGCATGAGGTGGCAAGGATTTGGGAAGATGAGGGCTGAGAGGAAAGAGAGCAGCCTGGCTGCGGTGGGGAGCTTTAGGACAGACTCCCAACCTTGGCCTTATGGACATTTGGGGCCAGATCCTTCCTTCCAGTTGGGCTATCCTGTGCATTTTAGGGTGTTCAGACCTCTACCCACTAGGAGCCACTTGTACTCCCTGCAGTTGTGACTATCAAAAATGCTTCCAGACATCGCCAAAGCCCCTCTGTCCCGTGGGGACCATAAGCTGGAATCAGAGGCCAGGCTGGACACTGACAGCCGGGTAGTAGTGAGGGCCAGTTAGTGACTTGCCCCCAGGCCCCCACAGGACATGAGCCCACAAACCTCATGAGCCCACAAAGCAGCCAGCCGGGTTTGGGTGCACCGTGTGGGCAGCAGTGGCTGTGCCAGCATGGTCCTCAGCATTCACTCAATGTGGGCGTGGTGCCCAGTGTGGTCTGGGTACGGCCATGCACCTGACCATGGCTTCTTGCAGGTTCCAGTCTCCAGCCATCGCAACCCCATCCTGGACCTGGCTGCCTATGACCAGCAGGGCCGCAGATTCAGCAACTTCAGCTCTCTGAGCATCCAGTGGGAGTCCACCAGGCCATCGCTGGCCAGCATCGAGCCGGACCTGCCAATGCGGCTGGTGTTCCAGGAGGATGGCAGTGGCCAGAAGAAGTTGCATGGTGAGTGGGCGCTGAGCCAGCCGGCCCTGGGCAGGAGGGACAGTAGTGAGGCCTGATAGGCGAGACTGCTGAGGAGCTGCTATCTGGGACTCCTCTGATCAGGACAAAACTACTTTCCTTCGATCCTGCACAGACTCTGTGAGGTAGGAATTAGAATCCCTGTTTCAGAGATGGGGAAGCAGGCTCCAGGCCACTGCAAGTAAGCGTCAAGGCCCAGGTTACAGAGCAGGTCAGCCTGGTTCCAGGACTGCTGCTCTGAGCCACAGCCTTCTCAAGCCAAGAGTCCATCTTCTCCATCTTGGCTAAGCCATGTCATGGAAGCTTGCTCAGGGCCTGTTAACCCCTTATGGCACATACAGTTTAAACAAACTCAGTTACCTACTTTTAGGACTGGGGGAGATTTAAAACTGCAAATCAAAAGGAGAGAGGGGCTACGTCCCAGGCAGTAACGGGAAAAACATACGACGCGGGTTTCCCTTTCTGGACTCAGGTTTGCAGGCCATTTCGGTTCATAAGGCATCAGGAGCCACAGCCATCTCTGCCACCGTGACTGGTTACCAGCAGTCCCACGTCAGTGCCGCCAGAGTGAAGCAGCCGGTAACTCCAGGGCCCACTGGTGGCGGGGGAATCGTCCTCCTGCCTCCCTTCTCCTGGTGTCCTAGTGTCCTGAGCCCCCCTGAGTTACACCCCTCTGTTCTCTACCCCTCCCTGCATGGGGTGTGGTGGGCTTGCCTGGACTGGTGAGCCTCCTCCCTGGCCTCCTGCCTGCAGTGTCCCCAGCTCCACCCTCACCCCACCCCCACACACGCCCTGCACTCAGGTGGCTGGAGGGATCCGCTGCTACCTCACGGCTCTGGCGCACAGCCTTGGGAGTCTGCAGACCTTCTGGCTGAAGCTATCCTCACTGTCAGCCAGAGCTTGCCCATCTAGCCTCTTCTCCCCAGCGGTCCTGACTTACAGACCCTACTTGGCATGCCTGGGTGGTTCAGGCTGCCATGCCTTTGAACCTGCAGTTCCTGCTGACTGGAATGCCGTCCTCTCCTTTTACTCTTCTCTACCCAGTGGCCTCCTGTCCTTTCAGTCCCAGCCACCATATCTGCCCCTCTGTGAGAGTTCCCTGCACCCTGGGCACAGAGCGGCTGCTTGTGCCTCAGGTCTCAGAGCCCTTCATGCTCCCCACTCATGGTGCAGACCACCCCCTCCACATATACACTGTGCCACCATCTGCATACACATGTGGTCCACCCAGCTTCTCATGGGAGCTCAGGCAGAGGCACTGACGGTGGGTGGCAGATAGGGACATAAGAGGCGAGTGGGAAGAGCTCCCCAGAATGGTCCTGCCTGGATGACACCCACCCCATCACAGGACAAGGGTGGCAGTCAACTTAGATTTTGAATAGGGTTGGAGGCAGCAGATAATGGCTGTAAAGAGAGTGTGTGGCTGGGCCCCAAGGGACCCTAAATGCCGGGATAAGGAGCTTGGATTGTCTTCTGGGTGATGGGGGACAGCCGCTTTTGAAGCAGCTGTGACCCCAGTGGGGGCAGCAGGAGGAGGTTGGCCCGAGGAAGGTGGCCCTGAGGAGCAGGCCGGTACCTGCCCTGGTGGCTTAGTCCTTGTCATCCCACCAAAATCAGGAATCCCTTAGCTGGTGGTGGTTTCATGGGCCTCTCCCTATTCGGGTGCAAATGTTCACAAGGTCCTCCCCTTAGGGCCTCTGCACTTATATTCTTTACCTTGTAGTCTTTCCCCTCTTTGTTGACACCACTCACACGCTTACTTCCTGAGTCTCTGCTCACCTGAAAGGCCACCTGACAGTCCCTCCCTCTCACACCCCATCCCAGCCTCTGTGACCCCACCACATTCACACCTTCCTGTGACTGTTTACTTTTTCTCTTGAATCCTTGCATTAGAATACATCTCCCTGAGGGCACCTGCTGCCCTGCTAGTCCCTAGCACAGTGCCTGGCACCTAGTAGGTGCTCAGATACATGAGTATATGTGGGCCAGAGCCCATTCGGGTCCAGCGCTCTCCTGGAATGACGTGTGGTGAGAAATAGAGATACTCAAACATGCACATAACCCCAGGGGTGAGGGCCCTTGTGAGCATACCGGGGACGCCTCCATGGGGGCCCCCACACCTCAGGCTGGTCTGGGGCTTTGCTGATTGTCCATACACACATCCTCGCACACAACATCACAGCTGGCCGCTTGCTGTGTGCCCCCTGCTTTTCAGGGGTGTGTGTGAATTGCCCACTCTGTGGGGCCTGGCAGGTAGGATGAGGCACCTGCCTTGGCAGGATTATGAGATGGGATGTGGCCTCTCAGCTGGGCTCACACGGTGGGTTCATTCAGGCTTGTGTCCCAGACTTAACGAGTACCCTGGGGTGACACCAAGACCTGGGCCTCTGGACCTGCTCTCCCGAGGGGGAGGCCCACGGACTGCTTGGGGTTGACCCGTTGCATCCTGGGCTTGATGGCACTGGCTTTTCCCCTTCAGTATGACCCTCTGGTGCCTGTGTCAGCCTCCATAGAACTCATCCTGGTGGAGGACGTGAGGGTGAGTCCGGAAGAGATGACCATCTACAACCACCCCGGAGTGCAGGTATAACCCTTTCCCTGCCACCTTGCTTCCTGGACGTGGCCCATCGGGTGGTGGCCCTGGCCCTTGACACCCAGCCTGACCCCACTCGCAGGTGGAGCTGCACATCAGAGAAGGTTCTGGCTACTTCTTCCTCAACACCAGCACTGCAGACGTTGTGAAGGTGGCCTACCAGGAGGCCAGGGGCAGTGCCACGGTGAGCGCGGGCCCATGTCTGCAGCGGGGTGGCTGCGGGCTCCTGCGTCGATGATGTCACAATCCGGCACTTAGTCACATCAGCCGTAGTCAGCGCGGCTTTCGCTTCTCGAGTCGCGGGGGGTTACTTCAATCATTGCGGCCAACTTTGTGGTTCTCATTCCATCTCTAACACACTGCCCACTATTAGTTAGCTCATGGTTTCCTTTCAGTCTTTTAGTGAAGATGAAAATATTATTACATAAGCACCACTATAACAACCATAAAGTTGCTTTTAAAAGATGTATCACCTTTTCTTATTTTTCCACATTCCTTTTTGACCCTCTCCCTATTCTTGCAAATTTGACATCTTTGTCCATGGTATGGAAGAATTTAGCACTCCACTTTTTTCAATTATTTTATTCTAAGTCTTTCCCCCCATGTTACTGTGTAGGCTGGCTGATTATTTTTGTGCAGCCATTTGTACTTAGCCATTCTGTCCTTGTAGAGTGTGTGGTTAACTCTTTTTGTTTTATAAAAATAGCCCTATAGTTATAGCTAAGAATAACAAGCATAAAAACAAACACCAGTGTTCTCAATGGCTGCATATTCTTAATGCTGCATTAATGAGTTATTACGCAATCAGGAAAACTGAACTTTCTTTAAAAGGAAACTCTTACTGAATGTGTCAAACCACTGCTATAGCCACACATGCAGGCAGCCAGACAGAATTCAGCGATGACCCCCAAGCAGTGTCATTAAATTGCAGCTATGCTGTCGCTTTTGGGCTGCTCTGAGCATCAGACCTGCTTTCCCTTTGTACCAGCACCAAAGGAGAATTTCTCCATGCCGAAGGGGCTGGGCTTGATTCAGTGTTTGGCGTGTGGTGTGGTTCAGATCATGCAGCACAGGAGGGCAGGTTAGGGCCTCGCCCTGCCTGAGCCATCTGTAGTCCTCATGTACACATCGATGGGCTTTAGCATTTCCGGTTCCCGTAGATGAGCCCTCACAGGCTAGCTACAGCATGGAATAAACTTCTTAATTCCAGGGATGGCTAGAATTGGAATTCACCTTCACAGAGACCCATTCCCCAAATCTCCTCTCAGAAATCCAGCCAAACCCCCCTGCCCACGGTTATACAGTACGTTTGTGCAGATAGAGCTCCCAGTTAGAAATCAGCACATGTCGCCTCAATCTCTGCAGGGCATTTGCAACCATAGCTCTCTGTGGGCCCATTTCTCTCTTTGCATCCACTGACTGTCTTGACACAGGGGGTCACAGAATCAGCTACCTTTGTAGTGGGACAGGTGTCAAGTAAGTGAGAGAAACGAGCTGTATGTGGAGCGTTCTTGGGAGTGCTGTGCAAAATGGGCCTGGTTAGCCTCAGTGTCTGGTAGTGACAGGCGGGGTGGGGACAGTGGCAGACTGGAGCACAGGCCGTCTAAGGGACAGCCACCGTGCACCTCTAGCAGGCTTTTGATTAACAGCTTTATTGAGGCATAATTCATATGCCATACAGTTCATCCATTTAAAGTGTACAGTTCAGTGGTTTTTGGTATGTTCATAGGTAATTTTCAGCCATCACCACAGTCAGTTTTAGAGTATTTTTATCACTTCAAAAAGAAACTCCATAGACTTTAGCTATCACCTCTATTGTGTGTATACACACACACACACACACGTTTACGTACACTCATGCACGTGCATGCAAAAGGGGATTGGATTCTGTCAAACGCTTTTCTGTATCTTTTGAGACAATCATGTGGGTGTTTTGTTTTTTATTCTGTTGATATGATCTGTTACATTAATTGACTTTCAGATGTTAAACTAACCTTGCAATCCTAGGACAACTGTTACTTGATCATGATGTATAATTCTTTTTACATGTAACTGGATTCAGTGTGCTAGTATTTTGTTAGGAGATACTGGTCTGTGGTCTTCTTTTCTGTGATTTCTTTGTCTGGTTTGGGTATCAGAGTAATATCAGCCTCATGGAATGACTTAGAAGTATTCTCTCTTCTAATTTTTGGAAGAGTTTATGTAGAATTGGTAACAACTACTCTTAAATGTTTGATAGAATTAACCAGAAGCCATCTGGACATGGGCTTTTCTTTGTGGGTAGTTTTTTTATTACTAATTCAATCTCTTCACCTGTTACACGTCTGTTCAGATTGTTTCTTTTCATCAGTTTTGCTAGCATGTGTCTTTCTAGGACAGTTCAGATTTGTGTGTGTGTGTGTATTATTTTTGTTTTTTTAACTTCTTTTTTGTATGTTTCTCCAATGGTCAGCCTTGGTCTTTAGCTATCTTGTGGAGATAATGCTTTTTTTTTTTTTTAAAGATTTTTATTGGGGAATTGGGGAGATGGGAACAGTGCTGGGGAATTGGGGAAAGGGGAACAGACAAGTTGCTGTTGTTCTGTTCTTCAGTCTAGTTGTAGAGGACCTTGCTTCACTGGCCCAATTTGGCACCATCATTGCGCTCTTCCCGGGCAAGGCAGATCAGTCGCAGGCTTCTGGACGGCCGTTCACTGCGGCTGCTGCCACAGTGTGGCAAGTAGGTTGCCACACACGGCAGCCCATGGCAACCTACTGCCACAGGGGCTGCAGCCTACGCCGTCCCGGTGACTCCCGGCAGCCCAGCTCCAGGTTGAGCTGTTGTTCAGCATCTTAGCTGTGGAGGGCAGTGTCACTGGCCCTCAAATGTGGGATCCAAACCAGGGCCCTCTGGCGTCCCAAGCCAGTTCTTAACCATCGCGCCACTCGGCCGGCCCGAGACAACGCTTTTTAAACAGTGCCGTCTCTCGATGAACAGTGAGGAAGCATGTTGTAATATTCCTGTTCTTCTCAGAAGCAGAGTCGCAGATGGCAGGACCTCAGCTTTATTGCTGTAAATCAGAGCAAGAAAAACCTGTCATCACCTGGGCACAAATGTGTGTTGTTAGAGGAAGCTTGAGGGTTACTGGAAGTCTTAGATCATATCTGAAGCTCTCCTGTAAGCATTTTTTATGAAAGAAAGAATAATTCCTCGGGCCATTCCTCCTGCCATGTAAATGAGCGTTCACTGTCAAATCCTTCAATTAAAAGGAAAACCTCAAATGGTAAATAACTGCAACTGCTTAAAATATGCCTTGTTTTACTTCTAGAGATTAAATGTAGCTCTTCTGTTATCAAGAAGAGGGAAGTTTCAAGATTGGGGAAAATGTGCACAATACCGACCATACTTGGGAACACTTTTACTCACATTTCCCTCACACCACACATTTTTCATAAGCCCTGAGGTGAATGAACCTGTGGCCAGAGAGAGAGGCCTATCCTCCAAGAACGAGAGCTGCTAAGAGCCCATGATGGACTAGGCTGCCTCTGTAGGAAGTGAGCACCCTGTCTCCGTAGGCATTCAAACAGAAGCTGAGACACCTGTCTGCAAGACTCAAGATGGGATTCCAGCATCAGAGTGAAATTTCCCCAGAAGACCTATGAACCCCTGTTCAATCCTATAATGCTGCAGTTCTAGGATTCTTAGTCAAGACAAGTACTGCTGTGCCCATTTTACAGATGGTCCCAGTAGACCTATAGCAATTCTCTCTCCAGGTTGTGGGCTGGCTTCCACTCGTGTCTCATCTCTTTCATGGCTCTCATTGAGTGGGACAGAGTGCCCATTGCAGGCGTGACCCCAGGACAAATGCAGCCATGTGGGAGTTCCGGCAGCACCGCATGTGCAGGCCCTACTAGGATTGCTTTTGCCCCAGAAGGCATCCTGAGGGCACCTTGCCTGGGGTCTCTCTTGCCCTTCATCCTGAGCCCTTGCAGAGACCATTGCAGCTCCAGGTGCAAATCGGAGTCTGCTTTCCTTTGCCTCCTGTAACTTGCAGGGGGCCTTTTCATGGCATGTTGACAATCTGTAACAGGTACTCACAGCTTCTCTCAAATGGCTGTTTCTGAAGGACATTTACACATTTCTTTGGCATTTTCCAGCTGTTAATTAGCAGCATTCTCATTCCCTTAATCACAGAGACAAGAAAGCCTACAGCGGTTCTTTAATTAGCTCATATACAGTGTTTCTTTCTTTCCCTACTGATAACACATTTGTGATGCAAGAATGGCTGGTGGTGTGTTTTGGCTTTCACGTGTCTGGCAGCAAGCTGTGGGGCTCTTGCCAGGGCTGTTGTGAGGGCGATTATGCCGCTCAGTGCTCCCAGGGGCTGAGCAGCTGCTTTGTCCTGCTCACAGGGCCCCAGGACTCTGCAGGGGACCTTTGTTTCATTTTTGGCTGATCCATACAGCAGAGTGATTACCTGATTTAAATTTAGGTTTTCTTTCTTCTCAACAATTCTTTACATTCCAAAGTAAGTTGGAGAAGAACCCAGGGATTATAAAGGCAGGGAAGGATCCTTCTGTGCGCTGAGCACTTCACACCTGCATTAATGCAGTCATTCAGCAAATCTGGTGCCTGTCACCTAGGACTCAATGGAGGTGCAGCTGTCAGAAGCTGAGGTGATTTGTCCTCATCTCCAGTCCTGTGACATGGAGCCTGTCATGGCGAGGTTGTCCATCAGAGGACGCATACTGGAGACAAGCTCAGAGGTCCGTAGTAGGTGGCAGCTGCAGGGCTTGGACTTGGGTGTGTCCTGCATTTCCCCTGAGAATGACCTTTGGACAGGGGGGCCTGTCCCCAGCCATGGCCCTGAGAGAAGTTCAGGGCTGGCTTGGGTCCCTGAATGAAGTTTTATCTAGCGTCCAAGCCAGGATCTTCTCAGTGCCTGTGGTTTTCGTGTGATCTTGGTCATCCCCACAAGCCTTGAGGGCATCTGCTTGGGAGCATGGACCCCGACACTCTTGCATGGCACGGCCTGGCCCACCACATGACATTGACGGGCATGCTATAGGAAATAGGAGCTGTTGGCTATAGTGATATTCAGAAATACTTGTAGGACCCTTGCTCTTGTACAAATGCCACCTGTCAAGGGACTCGTCTGAGGCGATGGGGCCGAGGAAAGCAAAGCAGCTGAGATGGTGCAGGCAGAACCATGGGGCCTGGTGGACATCAGGGGACATCACAGCTCCAGCCCGCTCATGAGCAGAGTTGTCTCTGGCTCCACTTACAGAGTCTTTTATTTATTTATTTATTTATTTATTTATTTATTTATTTATTCATTTATTTTTTAGCTGAGCCATCCTGCCACCTGTTGGCAGCTCAGCAGCTGCTCAGCTCGGGCCAGGCATCAAACTGCTGTTGCTCAGAGCTCACACTCTTGAGCGAGCTCTTAACCAACTGAGCCAGGCTCAGTATTTGCAGTTCTTAGCACTTAGAAATTATTATAGAATTCATTCTGGGCATGGATGTTCCCCCACCTCCTCTCCTTCACACACGTTCTCCTGTATGTTGGTCAAGACGCAAGCAGGTCTGAAACGTCTGGAGAAGCAGGGTGGTGTGACAGACATGTGCAGTGTAGAGTTAGGAGTGGGGGCAGGTCCCCACATTGCCACCACCTGGCTGGCAAGGCCTCTCATTTCCCCAAGAGCAGTTTCTTTGTCTCCAGAGTTGCCCAGAGAGTTCTCCCTTAAAAGGTTGTTCATGTGGGGCTGACGTGAGCGGATGTGTGCAAGCAGGCAGAGCAGGTCAGCCCACCCAGCCTGTCCATGATGGCAGCTTGACACCGTCCTCCACTTACGTCCTCCGCAAGGTGGTTCGATGCCCAGCCGCTGAGAAATCAAGTGGAAGGGCAATAGATTTCCCCATCACCATTTTGTCTTTATTTAAAATGCAAAATGGTCCTGAAGGAGAGAAAAAGAAAGAGAAAGAGCCTCCTGTGCAGGCCCCTGCGTGGGTCTGTCAGCTCTCAGTAAGTGTGTAATCTCTTCACTCTGGGAAGGGCCCGCCAGCATCTGACAGCAGTAACATTTTCAGGAAGGTCATGTTGGGTCCTCACATTATGTTCTCAAAGAAAGCTTTTGTTTCTGTCATTTTAAAATGAATTATCTCTGGGGAAAGTGTAGTAAGCCGGGGTGAATTGTCCTTAGCACAACTGGAGACCTGGTGCTCCCAGACCCCACTCCTCAGCCTGTGTTTAATATCAGGCTGGCATGAGGATGGCGCAGATCGCATAGCCGTCATTTTAAAGTACAGATGTGGTTTCCACTCTGGGATCTTCATTAATCAGCCTTAAGTCATCATGTGGCCTCACCCAGGCATGCTTCATCTGTGTTGATGTGCACTTGAGCTCAGTGATACTGGTAGGGTTTTCAGCTTAGCGGAGCTCGCTAATCCTCCGTAGGCTCGGGCGTGTCCTAGCTCTGGACTTTGTGGGCCAGCCCTGCTCTTCCTGGCCAGCAGTCCCACTCTGCTTCCTGGAGGCATCGGCTCTGGAAGGTGGCCAGTGTGGGAGAGGGAGCCCTAAGCTGGGAGCTCAGGCGCCTGGGCTCCCTTCCCAGTGCTGCCCCTTCAAGGCTGTGTTCTCACCCTGTGAGCCTGTGTCCCCATATGTGCACTGATGGGCTTGGACCAGAATCAGCCCATTCCAAATAGATAAGGGTACATGGGATTTGCAGACATTCCCCCCCCAGAATGTCCAAGTCTTCACAAAGATAAGAGGAAAGCTAAGCAAACGGGCTGAAGCACCCGGTTTCTTTGTTAACTGAGTAACTCAGCTGTGCCCCCAGCTTGAGCCAATCAAGACGCATTTATCTGGGGAGAGTCTGTGCCCAGTGTTAGGCTCAGTCCTGAGGTGACATAGGGGAGAAGACTCCCTGGGAGGGAAGGAGGATGGACACAAACAATCCTGCGTCAGGACTGAATTACAAGCAGTGTAGCTGCCCTGGAAGTGAGAAAGGTGGCCGGGACTTGACCTGTCTGGGCTTAGGGAAGACTTTCCTGGGGAAGATGGTGAAGATGTGGGGGGAAGAGTCCCCAATTTTTCTTTAAGATGGGCTGTGCAGCCGGGAGGAAGGTAGGCAGACACAAGCCAGCTTTGATGACCAGAGAGAATAGTGTGGCTGGAGCGTGATAGGGGCGCGGCTGTGGTTCATGGTAAAATCAGAGCCATGGGCAGGAGCAGATGATGCCAGGGTCTTAGAGGATGTGTTAAGGATTTGGACTCACTCTCTGGGCAGCCCTTGAAATATTTTAGCCAGAATATGATATAACCATATCTGGTTGCCTCTTTAGGGTTGGAAACCTGATGTTTTTTTCCCACAGGTTCTTGATATTGAAATTCTAGCTTTTCAAACATTGAACCGTTCAGTATACACATTACTCCCCAATGAATATAAGACCACAAACCTGGGTAACTGAGGCGGCAAAGCCAGGGCCAGACAGAGATGGGAAGTTGCCCACTGGGCACCCCGCCCATCCAGCCTCCCCAGCTACCCAGTGGAGCTCCACAGCCCAGCAATATGAAAGGTGTTTGCATGAGACAGTGATGAGGTAGTCTGAGGAGCAAGTCTTCTGAGGTGGGATCCATGGAAGTAGTTAGAGAAGAAGGCTCAGGAAGGGGGTCTTTGGCAGGGAGACTGGAAAACAGTAGCTCAGGTGTGTTCATTCACTCAGAACACTTTACAGGCTCTCTGCTTCAAACAGAGCTGAGGTAGAAATGAATGAGACTCAGAGATCACACGTCAGACCATAGCAGTCTGTTCCCAGGTTCCGTGATTCTGTGAGTTCAGGTTGGAACTTCTAATTGAGAAGCAGTTGGTCTCATGCCCTGCCAGCCCCGGGCTTGCTGGGTACTTTTCTGTTACTGGGGCTGCAGGGGCAGGCAGCCTGCACAGGAGATAGCGAATCCTAGACCTGAATCCTCATTCGCCTCTCAGTTGCTTTGTGCCCCAAGGCCACGCACTCCCCCATTTGAGCAGCTTCCATTTTCTTCTCTTTGCAAAATGTGTAAAGTTGAAAGAAATGCTTTCCAAGATCCATCCCAGCACATTTCAAGCCCATCCCCTGACTAGAAGTGGGGTTCATGATGAAGAGTGGACAGGACATTTGGGTGAGGATTTTCCTGGTCCACTTCTTCTGAGCCGGCCCAGAGGTCTCTGGGAGCTGGCGTCCCATGGGGGACAGGCTTATGCTGTGAGCAGCTGTAACTGAGCCCACTTCTGCCCCTACAGGTGCACCCTTTGCTCCCGGGCATGTCGACCATCATGGTTCATGACTTGTGCCTCACCTTCCCAGCCCCAGCAAAGGCTGCCGTTTATGTCTCAGACATTCAGGAGCTCTACGTCCGGGTGGTGGACAAGGTAAGTGCCAGCTTCCTGATGTGGCTCCTTCTCTGCTGATTCACAGAAATAGGGAAAATGCTATGGGTGTGCAAGGTACTCTTCTCATGTTCTTTGCTTTTTCTCCTGGTGTGTGTGCCCGTCAAGCCGCCTTCCAAGCTGCTGCAAGCTTCCGGCGCTGCCTCTTGTCTCTGCCATTCCGTGCAAATGGTGCAGAATCACCTCTGAGGCTATATGTCAGCTCAGTTGACAGCTGTCAAGTTTGGCTGTAAATCTCGCTTGGAATTGTCCCCACATCGCCCTGACTTGGGAATTCCTGGCCCTTAGCTGGTGGAGGTTACTAACCAGCCAGGCACACACCTTGCTGAACTTGAATTTTTCTCCCACCATGTAGGTTCTGAATTATAGGGAATTTCAATGGCAAATGAATGAAACTCACTAATGCCAAGTCCTTTTGCAGGATGAATACATAATAGATCTAGGCTTTTCTTTAATGTAAATAGGAAATTTTTATTGCTCCAAATACCTGAAGTAACTGCAGCTAGGCTTACAGAGGGGTGTTGTCAGTTCCTAGTTTCCTGAGTGGAAAGAATGATTAGTAATTAAAAGGGGAATGTTTGAGCAGCTTAGACTACTTACAAAGCCAACGTTCTCTTACACCGTCTCAAATACTCCTCCTGTGGTCTCATGTCCACTGGCAACTTGCTGACCAGACCTAGTTTCTTCGCTAAGCGTTTCTGACTCCCATTTCCTCCCGTTCTTGCTGCCAGGTGTGAGCGCTTCTGTCACTGGGTACTTGACGGAACCCCTACTGTATCTGCCTGCTGCTGTTCTAAGCTGTAGCTGATCTCTCCAACTATAGATTGTTAGTTTTGTATGAGTGAGGGTGTAATTTATTCATCTAAGTATCCCCAAGGCTCCTGGTATGTAGCGAGTACTCAATTGACTTTCATTTGTTGATTGGCTAATAGTCTGGAGGTCAAGCCCGGTGACCTATCCCCGAATCCCAGATCTGTAGGTTTGAGGCTGGTGACATTTTCTCTGAAAGGCATAGGGTGCCACAGATGGTAGAATTGTTCATTCAGAGACCCCTGCGTGTCTGCCCCTATGATGTAGGTGGAGATTGGGAAGACAGTCAAGGCCCATGTCCGTGTGCTGGACTTCCACAAAAAGCCTTTCCTGGCCAAGTACTTTGCCTTCATGGACCTGAAGCTCCGAGCAGCCTCCCAGATCATCACGTTGGTGTGAGTTCCCCTGGGGTCAGAACAGGGCATCTCAGGGACAGTGCTGGCAGATCTGTCTGGGAGGGAGAGGTCTCAGCCTTTCCTTCTGTTCCCAGCTCCCTCGATGAGGCCCTTGACAACTACACTGCGACGTTCCGTGTGCATGGTGTAGCCATCGGCCAGACCAGCCTCACCGCCACTGTGACTGATAAAGCAGGGCAGAGAATCAACTCGGCTCCACAGCAGATTGAGGTAAAGCTGTTCCTCTTCATGCCACATGGGAGCAGCCCAGCCCCTATTGCACGCAGGGGTGCGGCGGGAGTACAATAGATAGGAAACTCCAAGGACAGTCCAGGAAGCCACTGAAGCCATGTTCAAAGCTGTGCCCTGGAGTGCCCTCTGATTACCAGTCTCAGGGACCTGGGGGACAGTTCCAGAGAGAGGGAGCAGAGTTACATTAGCCTCCCTCTAGGTCCCAGGGTGCCTGCCATGCCTCAACTTGTTACCCTGCAGGGGAGTGGCAAGACGTTCTTTAAACTGCTGAAGTGCCAGAAAGGAAGGGCTGGGCAGAAGCCACAGACAGTTGTGGGTTTATGAATGGAAGCACTTTTTGACAGTCAGTCTGAACATTAGAACAGATCCTTGGAAGCAGTAAGCTCTGTGGTTGGGGGCACCTACAGCAAGCAATTCCTGGATGAGGGAGCTCAGAGGTCCCCCAGTTCATCTCAGTGCCTGACTTGGGGCTGTCTCGTGGCATTAGGTTTTGGCCAGAGCTCAGCAGTTACCAGGGGCCAAGGCAAGCTTAGTCAGCAAGTCATGTCTAGGTCTGTCCTTCAGCAGCAGCACTAACCTGGCTCCCGCCAGTACCCTGCAGGTCTTGAGCACACGGGTGCTGGTGGGCTTTGTATTAATTAACCTGTGTCCTGAACCCAGTGGATGCACATTGTGCCTCTGCACGGAAGTGAACCTTCTTCTCCTGTTGAAGTGGATTCATTTCTGCCTATAGATGGCCTAGGCCTATGGAAGCCAGCCCTCACACACAGAGCAGCCTGTTGGCTGACTGGTGCATTTGCTGACCCTCAAACGCCCCTTATGCCCCTGCCAGGTGGGGCCTGTGGGGGATGCAGGAGGGGGTGGAGCTCTGCCCTGCTGCACAGATTGAGGCATTCGTGTCCCTGCCCCCCTGTCCTGCTTTCCTCACCTGAAAAGTTTTGAGGGCATCGAAGAAGAGAACATCTAAGGAAATTTGTCGGTAGAAATTTGGTGAATGAGGCAACCTTCCCAAGATGAGTTGGGACATCTCAAAGGCAGTAGGTTGGAAACTTGGACATCCATCAGAACCTCCTGGAGAACATGTTAAGACCCAGATCGCAGGACCCCACCTCTGATCTGGAGTGGGCTACAGAATGTGCATTCTAATGGTTCTCGGGTGACAGTCACACACAGCAGAACACGCCCCCATCACAGATTCTCAGCCCCAGGTGGGATGAGAGCCTGTGGGGGCCACATAGGCTCCCCCAGAATTGACACAGGCCCCCAGCCTCTCACATAGGAGATGTCCGTGCTCTGTGTTCCCCTCTCCCTGAAAGTGTTAAGTGTGAATGATGCACGGCAGCAGGCTCTCAAAATGCAACAGTCCCTTTTCTCTCTTTGTCTCCACCCATAGGTCTTTCCCCCATTTCGGCTAATACCCAGGAAGGTGACGCTGATTATCGGGGCCATGATGCAGGTAGGAGCCAAAAGCCACATCCTTGCCCCTCCTCCTCTGCAGCCAGCCACCCTGTCCTGGCTCCAGGCATGCCCTCCTACCATGGGCGTCAAGCCGGTGAAGGTGGAATGCTCAGGGGTATAGCTCCCTCGTTCTCTGAGAACGGAGCCCAGGCTGGCTGACAGGATGGGGCTGACAGACACCGCTGTTTCTCCCACTCCAGATCACCTCTGAGGGCGGCCCCCAGCCTCAGTCCAACATCCTCTTCTCCATCAGCAACAACAGCGTCGCAGTGGTGAATGGGGCGGGGCTGGTGCAGGGGCTCGCCGTTGGCAACAGCACCGTGTCAGGGGTTGTGCAGGCTGTGGACGCTGAGACTGGCAAGCTCGTCATTGTGTCTCAGGTAACAGGCCTCGGCTCCATAAGAGATGGGTGCTTTCTGAATCCACCCCGGGTGCGAGGTCCGCTAGTGATGGGGTGCACTGGTCCCCCTGGCAGCTGCTGGGGGACAGCTGTGAAGGGGAGGAAGCCATGTTTACTGGGTTCAGGCTCTGCTCTCGAGGACTGCCCCTCTCTGAGAGTCTGTCTTCTGTCCTCTGAGTTTACGACCCCTGCCTGTCACCCCAACCCGGGGTCAGCCTTGCCAGCCTGGGGTCAGCCAGACCCCCAAGGTTGCTTTTCTCCTGACTGAGTCTCCCCAGCTGCTCCTTAGGGTTGGGGTCTTTAAACCCCAGGCCTGGGACAATCCAGTGCATGTAATGGTAGCAGTTGTGACAGCAGCCTCTGCACAGAGCACTTTGCATTCCCCTCTTTAGCCCCCTCAGCAGCCTTGTGCATCCTGCTGCCATCCGGTTTGCACATGAGGGGCCTAGGGAACCAGCTAATGGCCCACGGCCACTGCCAGGCAGTTCTGGGACCTGACCTGGGACTGCCAGCGGCAGAGCTCCTGGGCCTTGTTTTGTTCATTTCAAGGAGGGCTGGGGGTGTTCTGAGAGGAGACAGTGGGTGCTGTTGGCTCTGACACACTTCGTGATTACAGTGAGTTTTCAGAGGCATGTGCCAGCTTGGCTGCTGTAAGAGTGGATAATTAGACACCAATAGCATTTCAGGCCTGGATTTGTATTTCCGGGAGAAATAGAAAACCTGAATTGTCCCCTGAGACCTTTTGCCCCACTGGCGGTTAAGTTACCTCCCAGTCTCTTCGCCAGAGTGGGGAACACTTCCTGGTTGCTTTTCTGGGTCAACATGACTGGAAGGCCAAGTTCGGGGGTCCTCTCCCCAGGAGCTCCCCCTGCTCCGTGTGGGTGGGACCAACTCCAAGCATGTGAAAGTTGGTGTCCCCAGGTCGGATAGTTTCCCTTCTTTCCAGTGGGTGGGACCTCTGGGCCACCAGAAGGTGATGGGAGAGTGTTTCCACCTCCTGAGAAGGTCTTGGGGCTCCTGGACTCTTGCCCATGCCCGTGGCCTGCGGTGACCTGCAGAAGCGTCTCAGGGAGGCTGCTGCATGGTCGCGGCTGTGCTAGAAATCTGGGCTGGAGAGCATTGTGTTCTGTGTAATATGACTGTGGGCAAGACCGTTTCCAGGACCCAGCCATCACATTCCTCGTGTAGAACTGGGGCCCTGGAAGAACACAGAGCATGGGCGGCGGGTGCGCCTGCTGCCCTGGAGACGGGAGCCTGAGGGGCCCTCCTTCCCGAGGCTGACTGTGATCCGACATTGAGTTCATAGCTCTATTCCTTTTCTAGCAGTCTCAGTCTCCGTCCAAGAATTCCAGTTAAACTGCAAAGTCCTCCGCATCATGGAGGTGCACACCTTGATTCTGCCTATTGATTTTCTAAAGACGAGAGCATTGAGGACGTAAGAGTCTGTCCTGTGGCACGCAGCATGGTTCACATAGATGTCCTGGAGAATGAAGTTAAGGACCAAGGAGGCGCTGCCCTTTTTCTTTCCCTAAAGAAAGTACTGTGGCCCCAGGAACTGGTGCATTGTTCCCCTCCTGGGGGCCCGGGTGACATAAATGGCAGCAGACTGGAAATCAGCCAGAGGGGCACACCCATGTGTTTCCTTCCGGGCCTTGCTCTTTGCAGTCTAACTTTGCTGGGCCAGGCCTCTCTCTGTCTCCCATCTGGTGGGTTAAGGGAGGTGCTGGAAGAAGGCCCTGATGCCCCTTGGCAGATGGAGAGGCTGTGCGCCACCAGTTCCATCTGAAAGGCATCTCCGTGATCCTGGGTAGGCGGGAGCTCAGCCTGAGGCTCACATGTCCACAAAGCGTATGAGATTCTAGTCAGAAGCTTTCAAGAGTCAGCACCTACAGTCGAGGGGTGGGCCAGGACTGGCAGCGGGGAGACCACAGTGAGAAGTACAAAGGGAAGGAAGGCAATGAATGCTTATCGAGCACCTACTATGTGCCGGATGTTAGCCCAGATCACAAGACACGGGAAATGGGCTCAGTGTGAGCACACATGAAAGGGGCTTAAGGGTTTTATTAACTTACATTCAGCATGAATCAACAGTACTATGAAGAAGCTGATAAAGTTAGTCTTTGGCCAGGTTAACAGGAGTATAGAGTTCAAAATGAAGGAGGGTATAAGGTCTGCTCTAACCACACTCTACCTGGCTCCTGCATTTGTCCATGTACTCTGCTTAGTCAGAGAGATCAACAGACTGGATTTGGGGTTGGGAGGGTCTGGAGACCGGTCCTGTGAGGGCTTCCCAGCCTAGAAAAGAACAGCCCCCAGTCACTGCCCCCAAGTCTCTGCAGTGCTGACCTGGAGTACTGGGATCAGACAAGTCTGTAGTCTCAGAGGGCCAAGCTGGGACCCCCAGGGAGATGGAGGGGGCAGTGGCCACATCTGTGTGAGGTGGGCCACCCACAAAGCCAGGCCACCTCAGGAAGAGAATCATTGAGCTAGACATCCTGTGGGTGCCTTGTGATGGAGTCAGGCGCAGCTGAAGCCTCTGTTGTTGGAGAGGTCCCTTCCTGAAACACGTTGCTAGCACATGTCCCCACCCCCAGCCAGCATGAGTCCCAGGCTCTTTTCCTAGGATCTCGTGGAAGTGGAGGTGCTGCTTCTGCAGGCAGTGAGGATCCGCGCACCCATCACCCGGATGAGGACAGGAACCCAGGTGAGTCGAGGCCCTCTCCAGCCCTACTGTCTGTGCTGTTGGCGCAGCCTCTTGGCAGGCATGGGGCTCCGAGTTCAGGTTCAGGATGAGCTTGTGGAGCCTGCTAGGACACTGTTCTTCTGCCAGAGCACTTCTCCATTCCCCTTATCTGCTGAACCTGCTTATCTAAGGATCCAGCTCCACGCCCCACAGGGAGCGTTCCCTGCCTTTTCTGTTCCAGACACACAGGCACTCCCTGCCCCTCTCACAGCACAAAGCTCCTCTAGGACTAGCATTCCCTTCCGGTTCTGTGCTGCTGCGTTTGCTGGGTAATGCCTCGGTCTCCCCTGGGCTGCCACAGTCTCACACCTAGCATAGCAGCTGGTGCGTCCCAGGAGCTAACAGCTGTCTAGTGCACACTCTACCAAGTGCTTTCTTACTGATCCAATTGGTGTTTATTACAACCCCATGAGGTAACTACCAGCATCAGCTCCGTGTTGCAGACAAGGAGGTGTGCACATAGGAAGCTTAAGGCTCTGCCCAGCTAGGAAGTGATGGAGCTGGGGACCAACTCAGCAGCCTGACTGAGGCTGCTTTTGCCTTTGACTGCATGGCCTCTACTGTGCCCTCCGGTAGACCCTCAGTGAACCCAGGCTGGAGGAGACTGAGCCCACCCATGCCCATCCATGTGAGCCTGAGGGGCCACAGCACAGGCAGAGGCTGCGGGCAGGGTTGCTGTGCTGCTGGAGGCTGCAGGTCTCCTAGAGCTGTAGGGGGTCATTTTAGGAAGGAACCTCCCAGCCAAGGTGAGACTCAGCCCGCGGGCCAGGAAGAGCGGGGCGGGGCGGGGCTCGTCTGTCTTCTACTCGATCATTTGCTATTTTATCAGAAATTCCCAAACCTGTACTGTGCCCATATCTGGTGAGGGCAGAATCGGCACAGCTCCTTCTGCACAAAGGAGACGCGAGTCCCCGGGGAGGAGAGGCAGTGGGGCTGTGCCCAGGCTTCTAGGGCACCTCCAGCAGTGGGACTCTGGCTGTCACGGGCCTGGTTTTTACCTGCAGATGCCCGTTTATGTAACCGGAATCACCAACAACCAGAACCCTTTCTCCTTTGGCAATGCCGTGCCAGGCCTGACCTTCCACTGGTCAGTCACCAAGCGGGACATCCTGGACATCCGGGGACGGCACCACGAGGTAACCACCCGCCGAGAGCCCCCACCCTCCATCCCAGGCCTGCGTCCGGGGCGGGGAGGGTTCTCCCCATGTCTGCCCTACCCCTTCATGCTAGGCTGCTCGTGGGCCCTTTCTGTTCTCTGAAGGCTCATCGGGATGCCTCCCAAACACTGCTCCCACTCTCTCTATCCCCCAGTGTCCTTCCTCCTTCCTAACTCCCAGCGCTCATGTCTGGGAATTCTGCCTCTTAGCAATCCTTCTCACAGTACCCCAGGATTGTCTGAAGCCCTTTTCATTTTAAGTACGTCCTTGCTAACCACTACAGAGGAGGTTATTGGTAACCTACTAACAGAAGGCAGCAAAAGTAACAACCTTGTAGGGAAGTCACCAAAGTTCCAGAATGTCACAGGGTCTTGGTTCTGGGTCCCCAGTCTGTAAGTTCTACCCCTTTCTGAGATGACACCTGACAGCCCTGAGGTTTGCTTCTGGTTCATCCCAGAGGCTAAACTCCCCTCCCTTAGCCCTCCATAGGGGGACCCTGGCCCCTCCTCATATCTCAGAGCTGGAAGATGTTTGAAAGAACTTGCTTAAACTAACCCTCTGTGTTAACTGGAGCCCTTACATGAGAAGGGACTCACCTAGGGTTGCCCAGCGAGCCAGTGGGGAAAAGGGGCTGGGCGCCAGCCCTGGTGACTCCAGGCTGCCACCCAGGTAGGCCTTGGGCACACAGGACTGGAGTGGGGGGTGGTTCTGGGATAGTCCTTCTTGCCTTATCCCTAGACAGTGAGGGGGAAGTGTTGGGAAGTGGGGTGGGGCAGGCAGAGGGACAGAGTTTCCTAGAGGCTGCCTGAAGCTCACTTAGTGTAGGTCGAATGCCTTCCCCAGCCCACCGGTGGGGCCAGGGTGCTGTCCCCAGTGCCAGGGCACTTCCCAACTGTTCCCATGATACATGGGCCCTGCGAATTACTCCCAGATATCCCATAGCAGAGGGGCTCTGTGGGGAAACACTGCCAAGCCTAGCGTCCTTCTTGGTGATTCATAACCACCACCACACACTAAAGGCTCTGAGAAGTCTTGCTATTAAAATGCTGACCCTGGTGGGTTGACCCAGCATTCTCCACATTCACCTGTGAACGTGGTGAAACTCAGCGGGATGTACTGGTCTCATGCTGGGTGGCTGCGGCCTGCACACCCTGTCCAGGGCAGGAGACAGTGGCCTCTGAGAATAGACAGATAGCTATCAGGAGTCCGGGGCTCCTATCTGGCCCTGCCCTTTTGGGGGTGCTGGGGTTCCAGGGTGCTCCCTGAAAACATGTTTGGTGTCTGTCCCAGGCATCTCTCCGGCTCCTGTCCCAGTACAACTTCGCCATGACCGTGCATGGCCGGGTGAAGGGCCGCACCGGACTGAGGGTGGTGGTCAAGGCTCTGGACCCCACCGCTGGGCAGCTGCATGGCCTCGTCAAAGAGCTCTCTGATGAGATCCAAATCCAGGTAAAGGACAGGTGTGCAGGACCCAGCCCAGCACCCTTCTCCTCTCCGGCCATGCGGGCACAAGTCAGTCCTCCCACTGCCCCAGAGCAGGGGGCTGAGGGCCCTGCCCCTGAGTTTTCAATCTGTAGGGTTCTGGGGTCAAGGGTGTAGAAGATGTCGTGGGAGCACAGAGAGGTGGCTGACTGAGGGCTTCACAGAGCAGTGACGTTTCAGGATGGGAAGAACTGACCGGCAGGCCAGGTGGAAGAAATGGCCTGTGCAAAGGCCCAGAGGTCTGGAATAGTTTGACGTGTTCCCCAAATAGAAAATCATTCTGAGCTTGGAGCTCCCCTGCCTGCCTCTCTGGGTTCCTCTGTCAAACCAGGCACTTGACAAGTTGCTCTGAAGAGCGTTTTTAGCTTCAAAGGGCCCTATTCTGCTTATCTGGGACTCAGTAACCCCTGGGTCCTCCTAAATTGTGAAGAAAAACTGAAAGCAACCCCTAACTATTATGAGAAAGGAAATGGGTTCAAGCCCCCTCTTTCAAGAAGAAATAAACGGTTTCTAACCCAGGCACACACCCCACTAGGGATAAAGATTCTCAAAGAAGGAAATCCCTGCTGGCCAGCCTCCCTTAACCTCTGCCTCACGTGAGCATTGCACAAACAGATACACATATGCATAGACACTGACACAGAGATGCACACATATACACAGACGGACATAGACGGACATGTATGTATATGCATACAAACACAAATACAGACATACATAAACACACAAATATGTGTTCTTCCTGGTTAAAAATAAAAGTAAGTTTTGGCACCTCTCGTGGAATTAAAGACAGAGCTTTACAGCTGGGTCACTTTCTGTCTCAGATTTGGTTTCCTTAGCTGACAGCAGATGGAGTTTGGAGTACATCAGAAACTTAGAGTAGTTGGAGCCAGTCCACAAATGTGTCTTATTTGGCTCACCTGGTGCTTTGAAACAAGTTTTCTTTGTTGCCAACATTTAAAAACAGGAAGATTTTATGTAAAAACCCAACATGCAGTTTGCCCTGAAGACATGCACTCGCCACATGGGGAAGCCAGCAGATGGGAAACGGCCTCCCCTTGACCAGAGCTGTGCTCTCCGGTTTGCCGCAGGCTCCACCCATCCCTGCTGTCTCTGCAGGGAGGCCGAGCTGCCGCTTCCCCTGGGTGCTTGCACTGGTGCTTTTCTGACAGTTAACAGGAGAGTGATGTATTTCTTATACCTCCACCCCTATCTAAAGAGTGGCAACAAAGAATACGCTTCAGAACCACAGAGGGAAACATTATCTGTGTGTGTACTGCCTACATAGTCCATGTGTCAGCGTCAGTCAGTGAGGCTGCTTCCTTCTGAAAGCTACCTGCCTGGCAGGACTCACCTGATGTCAGAATCCATGCAGCTACCAAGTCTGTTTATGACTCCCCGTTCAGGAAGCACTGCCACTCACATTGTTTCACATGAATCCCACAGCCCTTTGAACAGCCATGGCAAGGATTATTAGTATTAAACCCATTTTATAGACAAAAAACATCTAGGCTTAAGTAGCTGGTCAGAACACCAGTGGTGCTGGAATGGAGGGGAGTCAGGCTGCTTTCCTCTTGGAAAATCGTCCTTTGGTCCAGATGATTTTGGACATGGGCCCTAGGGAGAATCCAGGTGTCTGATCAGATTGGAAGCCAGTGAGTGGGGAGCTCAAAACTGCAGGGCATCAAGGCTTAGATGCCCATGATGCCAACAGCCCCAAAGGTCTGTTAGAGAAGGGGACTCAGAAGGGCCGTGGGCGCATTAGGATTCATGCAAAGAACAGGCCTGGAGTTCCAGGTGAGTGCTGCTGCTATGGGCTCTGGGAGCCATCAGGGCCTGAGGCCCCTGGGGCGGGACAGGTCAGATTCAATACGACATTACCAGGTGTATTATCATCTGCTGGCCTGAGGTCGCCAACATGCCCCACACTCACCCCAGCTCTGTGCAGATCCAGCAAGAGCCTGGCAGGATAAAGGGAGCAACATGGGCCGAGGAGGGTGATGGGGGTTGTTCTGTGATAGTCATGGTAGGAGCAGGGTGTCTTGCTGAGAAAAAGGAGAATTTAGATGATGCTTTCTCCACGCTCAGTCCCAGCAGAGTTAGGGCTGAGCAAGACCCTGGCTCCGTAATTCTGCATGCTGCCTTCTGCACACACACCCCGGCAAACACTTTCCCCTCCTGGGAACTGAGGCAGAGGCCCACACTTCCTGGCCCTGTGAAGTAGCTCCCATCGGGATCCCAAGTGTGACCCTGCCTGGTTTTCCTTGTCACAGGTCTGGCCTCTCTTACCAGTCAGCCCTTAGCAGCACAGCGCCAGCTTGCCACCTGTCAGGTGCTGGCTCGCAGCAGTTTCCATCTCGTCTCCTCTAGGCTCTCCCTACTGAGAGACGCAGATACCCAGACACAATTCCAGGTGTTGTAGGAAATAAAATATGCCTATATTCCAGGTGTTTGAAAAGCTGCTGCTGCTGAACCCTGAAATAGAAACAGAACAGATATTAATGTCACCCAACTCATTTATAAAGCTTCAGACGAACAGGTACGTGATGCATTGCTGGTTTTCAGCAAGGTTGTGAAGCTGCGCTCACACCCGATGACTCATTTGTCAAAGTTGTCAGCAGCTGTGGTTGCTTCAGGTGAATTGGGCGTCTTTCTTGGTGTTGACTTTAACATGGATGCAGCTTCTGTGTCCCTCCTTCTCTTCATGTGGACATCGCTTGCTCTCTGTGTCACTTACCCCAGTGGCCCTCCTTTCCTCCCTGTAACCTGAAAACCTTTTGATACCTGCTGCGCAAATCCAGCACTTCAAAGGGGAAAACATTCCACCTTGGAAGTGTTAGATTTTTCAAACACCCCTGTGTCTTCAGGACTTGCCAGCCTGAGTGCAGTCCAGACACCAGCAGCGTGGGCGCCACCTGGGAACACATGGAAACACAAGTCTCCAGACCTGCACCTGAGCTGGATCCCCTCGGCAGTGGGGATGCACATGAACACTGAGAAATGCAGTCTTAAAGCGTGCGTGCAAACATCATGCCTACCTTGCTTTCCATTGTTACCTTGGTAACAATGACTGCGTTGAAGTGCAGTTACAAAGAGGGGCTGTGAGGACCATGGGAGTACTCACAAGTTCCCTGAGACACACACACACACACACACACTCTCACACTCACTCACAGCATTCATCCAGTCAGCTTGTCTAAGTGCCAGGCTGTGTGCTAGGCTATAGGAACAGAGATGGAAACAGCTGGTGCCCTTGAGAAGTGTGGTGGGGAAGAGAGGAGGATAGCATGAAACGAGGTAGTACACTCAAGCCATAACCCAAAGAAGGCGTTCCATGGGAGGAGTTAGGGAAGGTGTGACGTAGGTAGAGATGCGTGAGCTGGGTCTTGAAGGGTGCATAGGAGTTCTGAAGTTTAAGAGAAGAGCATTGATGAGGGGGAAGAAAGTTGAGGCAGAGGCAGTAACACTTTTTTTAAAGTCATCTGAGGAGGGTCTGTAGGTGTGGGGCACAAAGCCTTCCTGTTTCTTATGGCATTAATGACTACAAGTATGTACAATAGCATAAAATACTGCATGATTTGTTTTCTACCCAGTACATAATAGTAGTAGTTTTACTTTCTGAGCAAGTTCCTTTTTTTTACCCCATTACCAGCTCTTGCAAATAGGGCATTACTCTCCATTCACAGTTGAGGAAACTGAGGCCGAGAAAGGGGACACGGTGTGCGAAAGGCACACAGCTGTTGGCAGGGTTGAGGATTGCCTTTGGGTTCCGTCCACCCTCTCCGCTATGCCAGGCTGCCTTATTTCAGTAAACTAAAAACAATTTGCTTCAGAAACGATATTGTATAGTAAGTGCCCCATGCAGCTAATGAAAGAAACTCAGTCCTCACAGCCTTTCTCTCGCTGCTGACCAGCCACGGTAGGTGCTGCTCTCCAGAGTGAAAAGTGATGCTTTCCTTGGTGCTTCTGGTTTTCCATGTCAGATTTCCTGGTGGCAATTGAGAGGCTGCAGACAAGCTGCCGCAGGTGGTCCCAGCACACAGCTGGCCTGAGATCCGGCCTTTCTCCTCAGGAGCATTCGGGGACCCCAGAACCCCGGCCAGCCCCTCTGAACCCCTTCCCCGCTGCTGTGAAAACGCCTGTTTGTTTTACAAAGGGATGGCGCAGCTTCTCTGAGCTACCGTGTCCTGGATGGGCCCGAGAAGGCCCCCGTCGTGCACATTGATGACAAGGGCTTTCTGGCATCGGGGTCTGTGATTGGGACTTCTACCATAGAAGTGACTGCGCAGGAGCCTTTCGGGGCCAACCAGACCATCATCGTTGCAGTAAAGGTAGGATCATATTTTCCTCCTCCTTAGAATAGTAAAGGCAATAGTGCCAAGGGAATATTTCCCCCTCACAGGTGTAAGTGAATATATTCCCCTTCCAGCTGAGAAATCATGTTAGAATTTTTTCTGAGTAACTCAGGGGCAAAAGTCCTAGATAGAAAGCTCCAGTATTTTCTGACTGTCAGAGCCAAAGATCTTGGAGGTTATAGATCACAACAACCTTGTTTCATAGTTGGGAAAACTGAGGCCCAGTAAGGTCTGATTTGCTGGAACTGGTACTGCAGGGTCCTGACTTGCCAGCTGGTACCTGGAACCGACAGGCACCCTTGGGTGCATGTGCTACGTACCTGGCCCACAGATCATTACACACATCCATGGCAGCCTGGAGAAGTGGGAGACCCATTTTACAGGCACAGAAACCAAGACCCAGAGAGGAAGTGAGTTGATCCAGGTCACACAGTGGTTGTGAATCAGTTTGGGTTCTAACCCACGCTGGCCTGGCTCAGGTTGATGTGTGTAGTCTGGTCACATTACAGCGCTTCCCGCGTGACAGGGACTTTCTCCTTAGACATCCCTGGGTTGGGTCCCGGGTTTGTCCTGAACAGAATTTTCTTTCCACATCTCATTACAGCCACCTTTTGAATCCTAGATGACAGATAATATATGACCACTTGCATTTTTAGATTTTGCCTGGGTCGCAAGTCTATTGCCTTAATTAGTGTCTTTTTGTTTCATGGTGAGTGCCTGGCAGGGAACCTCCACCCTAGGTTTTCAGTAAGTGACAGTGACTGTTCATCTAATGTCAACAAGTACATAGCACCAGTTGTGTACGTCACTGTACCAATGAACTTTGCTAAAGAAATTAGGTCTTTTGGGGAGCTAGCTTTTCGTCCAGGCTGTTTTTACTCCGAGTTAGAGAACCAAGGCTAATCTTTGTGGAGCTCAGGTTCTGGGCTCTCAGAAGCCGTCATTCCCTGCTTGTTCCCTCTGTCCTTGTCCTGGAGCAGCTGCAGTTATGCGGTGGCACTAACCAGTAAGACTGCCTCTGTAGGCCAAGCAGGCAGTATTTCTACTTGAAACACCCCAAGAGCCAAGGCCTCTGTAGAATCTGAACAGTCAAAGCCCAGGGATATTTTTGCACCATGAATCGTGATCTAATTTTTCAAAGTCATGGATTTTGCCTCTTGTGGGTTGGGTTGCTCACTGTTTAAGGAGATGAGAGCCTTGTCACTAGGCTGGGACACTGGGTCCAGCCTCCCGTCCTTCCCGCAATGGGGACCAGCCAGGGGCAAGCGCCTCCTCCTTGGGGATGGGTTTTCGGGGCAGCTGGTTCCCACACCATCCTCGCATTACCTGCTCACTGTCCTGCAGGTGTCTCCTGTTTCTTACCTGAGGATCTCCATGAACCCAGCCCTGCACACCCAGAACAAGGAGGCTCTGGTGGCCCTGCCTTTGGGAATGACTGTGACATTCACTGTCCACTTCCATGACAACTCTGGGGATGCTTTCCATGCTCACAATTCGATTGTCTACTTTGCAACTAACAGGTAGGGTGTGGGTGACGCTCATTTTCACGTTAAGGCATGTCTCAGTTGTACCCAGATGTAATTTATGGAGGTGACTGGTGACAACACGGAGAGGCTAATGCTATTGAAAGAAGAGTTTTGTTGCTTGGAGTTTCTGAGAGGAGGCGTGCCACTCTCGGGGCCAGTGAAGGCAGTACGAGTCTTGGTCTGGAGGCAGGAGGAGCACGGGAAAAGCGTGGCTGGGGGCCTTTGTTTACTCTCTGGCAAGATGTTGTTTGGTGGGGATGCCGCCTAAAGGTCAAGAAGCAAAACACAGAGGTTGGGGTTTGTAGTTGGAGGGATTGTAGTAAGATTTTTGTGCACCTTCAAAGCTGGACTGCAGCGGAGATGTAAATAGCCCCAGCCTTTGGCCTGGCCCTGTGATCTGCCGATGCAAGTCATCAATTACAGACACTACAAAAGCGGGTCAGAACAAGGCACACACCTTCCAGTGCTTGGTCGTTCACTGATCGTCTGCTGTGTGCAAACCCTACATGACGTTTTGCACTTCACTGTAGTCCATTTGTTGAGGCCCAGAGAAGTCAAGCCACTTGTCGAGGGCCACACAGCCAGGAAGTGGGGTTTAAATACCAGGTCCCACCCAGCTTCAAGTGCAGTTCTTTTTCAGACTGTTCCAAAATATAGCTGCAGCCTCAGGCCGAATGTGAGGAGACACGGGATGGTCTCCAGAGCGAAGAAGAGAGCATGGCCTCTGTCTGAGCCTGCTGAAACTTCTGAGTCCACCGGAGGGGTAGCTCTCAAAATGTCCCCAGAGTAGCATCACTGGGAAACTCTTAGAAATGCATATTCACTGGGACAAACCATCTGTGTTTAAACATGACTAAAGGTTGAGAACCACTGCCCCAAGGGGATGCACAGCCAGCCGAGAGGAGGAAAGAGTGGGCCTTGGGGAGGTATTCTGAGCAGCACGAGGAGGGGCTGATGACTGCTGCAGCGTGGCCTCCTGGGGCCCTGCAGCATATGTGCCCCTGGTGCTGCATGCAGTCAGGGCTAGGCGCTGGAGGCATAGCATTTAGAGTGAGACCTGTTTCAAGCCCGGCTCTACACTTTATGGAGCCTGCTTTCCAAAGGGATGACACAAGGTAGGTCACTTCTCCAGGCCTCTGTTCCCACACCTGTCATGTGGGGAACGTGACCTAGTCCCCAGGGCTAGGTGAGGCCTCTGGCCAGCTGTGGAGCTCTGTGTATAGTGTCCCGGCCGTCTGTCAGTCTGGGGAGTAGGCTGCCCTGCAGGAAATGGAGCTGGGCTGTCACAGCCTCTCAGCCACCCTGCTGGCTCTTTGGTGGCAGGAGCCAGTCTCCAAGAGACCAGTTAGGACCCAGGGGTCTGAAGGCATGGTGGAGGTAAGTGATGAAGCCAGGGACCCTCACCCCTCAGCCTACCCAGTCCAAGCTTTCCACAGGACAACACTGGCTGGTGTGGACTGAGCTGTCACCACATCAGGTGCTGGCCTAAGCGCTCACAGCCCCCACTCTGGTTCAGTGCTCACATCGAGCCCCTGTGACTGACAGAAGAGGAAGTGGGCAGAGCTGTGTTGCCTGTCCAGCTCACACTGTGAAGAGCAGCCTGTGCCTCCCTAGACGTCCTGTTTCCCTGCAGATCAGTGTCCTCCCTGGGCCTCAGCTTCCCCCTGCGACCTGGGGGTGGTGATGCTGGCATTCCTGAATGACAGCCATGGGCTCCTCTGGGCGATGAGATGGGGCGGGTTGGCGCGGCCTGTGGTGCTTTCTTCTGTGGAGCAGCTGCTGGGTAACTGTGAGTCGGAGTGACTTCTGGGGCTGCAGTCGGTGACGGGTGTTGCCCAGCACCACAGGACTCATGCTGCAGTTCTCCCTCTGAAGTCAGGGGGCTCTTTCCTGATCCTGAGAGCCCTCATCTCCCTCCTGTGCCTAGAGACGAGTTTGTGCAGATTGGGAAGGGCACTACCAACAACACCTGTGTCATCCGCTCCGTCAGCGTGGGCCTCACACTGCTCCGGGTGTGGGACGGGGAGCACATTGGCCTCTCCGACTTCGTCCCGCTGCCCGTCCAGCAGGCCATTTCCCCAGAGCTGCCTGGAACGGTGGTGGTGGGGGATGTCCTCTGTCTGACCACTGTCCTGGTCAGCCTGGAAGGTAAGAGAGACGCACTGGCCCAGGGAACTCTCCCTGTGAGTCATGGGCCCACGCAGAGATGGCAGTGGGCTCCCTGGGGAGGTGCTCAGCTTCCCTTGGTGGGAGGTGTACAAGTAGGACTTGGACAGTGTTCCTGCACAGGAGCCATGAGACCACCACCCCGGGCGACATACCCTGCTACCTCTTTTTGCAAATGCTATTTTGTTGGAACTCACTCAGACCCATTCGTTGACGTGCTGTCAGTGGCTGTTTCCACCCAACTACCATCAGAGTTGGTGGCATCAGAGACCTTCGGGCACACACAGCCCAAAATGTTTAGTATCTGGCTCTTTGCCAACCCCTGCTCGGAAACAGCTCTGTCCAGTAGAATGTTCTTCCATCATGGAAATGTCCTGTATCTACTCTGTCAGACACAGTAGCCACTAGCCATTGCACACTTAAAATGTGACTAATGCAGCTGAGGAGCTGAATGTGTCGTTTTAATTAATTTCATGGCCAGTGGCTATCATGTTGGACAGCATGCCTCTGTAAGGAGCCCTAAGTGAAGAACACCCATGGCCAGTGCGGTGATTTCAGCCATTCCCATGCCACCTGTACAGCCATGCACTCCATGTACAATTACTTAACGTTTGTTTCAGATTAGATCCCTTTTTTCCCCCCTAGTTAAATTCATTTTAAAAGGAAGTTAAATACTGCCTTTAAAGAAAAGCAAGTATAATTTGCCATAAACAGAATGTGGTTGTTGAGTCCTTTATTGTACTTATTTTATGATGTGATTGGCTTTTACCTAAGAAATGCTGTCTAATGACAGCTCTGAGCCTGACACCTGCTTTATTTACTAAAAGGGATTGATAAACAATGTGGGGGGCAGGGGTGGTGCTGTGGGGGAGGGCGTGTACAGTGTGGGGGCCTGGAGGGCCAGCACCCAGGTCATCTCAGGACAGGGATGACAGAGACACCAAGCCTGGAGGTGTTGGAGGTGGGAGGGGGCCGGAGGGTATTCTTGACAGGCTACACTGTGCGGTGAGCAAGTGTGCTGGGCTTGCAGCTGGCTCCATGTGGCTGCAACCAGGAGCGAGGGGAGCGGGCCAAGCCAGGCTACAGAAGCAAACGGAGTGTGGCTTCTGTCCGAGGGTGATGAGTGGGCTACACCTGGCCGCTGTGTGGATTGTGGGGGCGGGGCGGCAGACAGCTGGCAGGGCCATCAGGTGACACGGGGTTTGGCTGCAGTGTGAGATGTGGGAAAGATGGGTGACACCCAGGCTTCCTCTCCTAGGTCTCTCTGGAACCTGGAGCTCCTCAGCCAACAGCATCCTCCACATAGACCCCAAGACGGGCGTGGCTGTGGCCCGGGATGCGGGATCCGTGACGATTTACTACGAGGTCGCTGGGCACCTGAGGACCTACAAGGAGGTGGGGCTTCAGGGCACATATGGCTCCGTGGCCTGAGAGGCATGACTGAGCTTTTTGGATGAAACTGTCAACTTTCAATACTGAATGATTCCCCTTTTTTAGAGAAAGATGTGCCATTGCCTTGTGAGGCAGTCAGGATCTGGGAGTCATGAGTGTGGGGTCTGCCGCCCACTACCTCTGGGATTGGGACAAGTGCCCTTTTCCTCTCAGCCTCTGTCTCCCCATGTTCAAATGGTGTGATGGTGAGAGGCAGTCTCCTAAGATGGATCCCAGCTTCCACTGAACCTGACCGTGCCTGCAAGGGAGGAACGGCCGCATGGGCATCCCTGGGGGCTGCAGCTGTGGGCAGGCCAGTGCAGTGATTGGGCGTCTCGGGCAAAGGTAACTCTCCCCAGCGAGTCACCGTTTGAATCTCCCTGGAGACAAACAAAGCTGCTCTATCTTCTGTTTCTCTGCAGCTGAGAATGACTCAATGAGCGAAGGCTGGCCGCGTCCCAAACGTGTCAGTTTTAGAGTCAACATGCCTTTGTCAGGTCCAGGGTTTAACCTATGAGCGTGTCTCTTTATTGCTGCAGCTCTGCGGTTTGGGCCAGCCACTTGCAGAGACGCACCTTGTGACTCCTAAGGCTATGCTGTCCTGGAAGGAGCTACTTAGAGTGGTCAGGGGCGGGGACTTGGGGAAGGGAGCTGGCAGAGGGAGCATGAAATGGGCAAAGGTGTCCAGGGCTCAAGAGCCAAGCCCTGGTGGCTGGAACATAGGATGCAGGGGAAGCGGAGGCTGGCTTTGTGATAAGATCGTGAACCGTGCTGATTTCCAGGGAGGTAGTTCTGTGGAGTGGTTAAGTGCGTAGGCTCTGGGGCCAGGCCTGCCTAGGTTCCAATCCCAGTGGGGCCACTGAGAGACTGTGACCCTGGGTAAGTGACTTAACCTCCCTGTGTGTCAGTCTCCTTACCTGTAAAATGGGGATCACAGTGTGCTGCGGAACACTGAGCTAACACGTGTGAAGCACTAAGGAGGGTGCTCAGCACACAGCAAGTGGCCAGCAGGCATTAGCTGCACTGGGGCTATTCCAGGTGCAGAGGCTGAGGCTTATGCCAGCCGCAGTAGGAGGTCGTCAGGGTTTTAAAATCAAACAGTGATATGGATCAGAGCAAATTTGGGGGCAGTCACCTGGTGCCCAGCAGAGCCTACGAGCCCAAGAGAGGAGGGGAAGGGGTGGGTGGAGTCTACAGCACAAAGATGGTTCTTGAAGACCTGGGAGTGGGCGGGAACATGTGGGGGAAGTGGGGTCAAGATGTGGAGGAGGAGAGGGAGGACGCTGGGAGAGGACTGTGGCATGGTAGTCAGGAATAGGAGACAAGACAGAGGAAGGTGGGAATTACAGTGCAGGAATGGAGATGGCTGGCCACTGAGGGTCTGCGGCCTGCCTGTAGCTCTGCGAGGGCCATGGCCCTGGGAGCTGCAGGTGCTTCAGGTAGACTGGGACCCATCCCCACTCTCAAGGTGATCATGTTCTGGTAGAAATTAGACCTGGGGGAGGCAGGAAGTGCCCCTCCTGCCCAGAGGCGCCAGGAGGCCTTCCAGCTGGAGAAGGCTGCCCTGGAGCTGGGCCTCCAGGGCAGATGGCATTGGGATCTACCGGTGAGAGTGGAGGCGTGCAACTGGGGTGTTTGCGTGTTCCTGGTTGCAGGATGGGCAAGGGGAACTCACTGCCAGGGCCATGTGAGTTCACATTTTGGTCAAGCTGATTTATTGTGAATAAATTATGGTAAAGTAAAATGGATTTTTCTCTCTTTGCTGAAAGATTAGTTAACCAAATTGAGGTACAGAGAAGTGATGATAACTCTCACAGGAGTCAAAGTCCACAGCTCACCCCAGACCAATGAGTGAACTGAGGTCCGCTGTTTAGCTCTTTGCTGTCGTTTAGTGGGAGAGCCCAGGGCTGCAGAGTCTGCCCAGCCTGGGTCTACCCCAGCTCTGCCATGTTCCCACACATCATTTAGGCTTTGGGCCTCAGTTTTGTCACTTGTGAAATGGGTGGTGCCTGCATCACAGGCCAGAGGGAGAGATCACAGAGATGCACAGGACAGCACATGTGTGGTGCTCACTGAAGTTACCATGGCTTCCTTCCCAGGTAGTGATCGGCATCCCACAGAGGATCGTAGCACGTCACGTCCGGCCCATCCAGACCAGCTTCCAGGAGGTCACAGCCTCCAAAGTGATGGTCACCGTGGGAGACAGAAACTCTAACCTAAGAGGTAGAGAGTGAGGGGTCAGGCGGTCTGGAAGGAGCCCTGCCAGGCTCAGGGAGTGGGGAGGGGGCTTCTTGTGTCCTTCTTATGGGGTTTCATATGCTTTTCCTACTCACTCATGGCCACTCCAGAGAGAACATTTAACCCCAGTTGGCCTGTCCCTTCCAGCTTTTTTAGAAATTCTAGGCATCCACAAGCAGAAGCTATGAAAGGAATCTTCCTGAAGGACACTGGCACCCAGAAACTGTCTGTTGCTGAGATAGAAAAGTGACTTCAACCCTGGGCATCAGAGTAAAGAAAGCCACAACTGACCACCCTTAATCCCAGAAAGTGATGACCTCGCAGGCCTCATCACTGATTGTGATTTTTGTAATTACTCTCCCAAGTCATGCGTAAAACATTCAGCCCCATCCCCTGCCCATGAGAGCCCCGGACAGCAGCTGCCAGAAATTAATACATCAATTTATAAAAAATTAATACAGGGCTTTTTAATAAAAATAAATACAAAGCTGTTTTTTAAAAAAACCACTTAACTGGTAGAATTAAATACCACTGTGTTCATTCTGATTAACGAGGCAGCTTTATTGAAACATCATGGTAACCTCTCTTTTCCTACCTCAATGCAAGTGACCGATACTGTGCTGCTGCTGAAGTGGTACTCAGTGTATGCGCAGGGATCTGTTGCCCTCCTGATGTCCAGAAATAAGTTGCCTATTTTCCCCTGCTGACAGAAACAGATGGCACACATTAGTGCGGCTGGCCCATCTGCCATGCCCCTGGACGCAAGCTCTAGAACGAATCCTGAAATTCTGACCTGAAACTGCCTGGGATTCAGAATGACACTCTCCTCTGTAAAATTTGTCCTCAGCTTTTATAAACCATGGCACCATTACGGAGCTTTGGGCAGCTCCAGCGACTTAGTATGGAAGGAATTTGGGGTGCAGGTACCATTTTGTGGCCTGACCAGGCAGCATGTGGTCTATTACGCTCCCTCATCTTGGGGCTCTTTAGGCAGGTGCCAAGGCCTTGGCGGTCTGAGGTTTGGTGGCTGCAGGCCTGGCCCACACCCTTCTTACCCTCCTCCCATCTCTAGGTGAGTGTTCCGTGGCCCAGATGGAAGTTATTGAGACCCTGCGCCCAGAGTCCCTCATCAGCTGCCAGCTCCAGTTCAAGCAAGATGTCTTCGATTTCCCGGCACGTGACATTTTCACTGAAGAACCAAGGTTTGACACTGCTCTGGGTAAGTCTGCAGGGGTTTGAAAGTGGAAATTTACTTGCACAAGGGTTTGCCTTCGGCACATTTGGCTCACAGTGGCTGTCTGTCCAGAGGGGCCATCTGTCAGGAGCCCACCTGGGACTGACGCCGTCAATCTGGCCTCTGTGGTTCATTGCAGCCCCCAGAAGGGGTTGGTGTTCCTGTGCTGGGTCATGGCCATTTTAGGCATCCACCTACCCCGGCAGAAAGGACATGATTTAGAGGGACTCCCTGGGCTCAGTCCCTCCTTTGCTCTTCCCAGCTCAGAGTCTGCGGGCATCAAGGCTGCATCCCTTCGTGAAATGGGGAGTCCTGCAGGTCAGGACTCTGAGAGGAGCAAGCCAGAGAGGGGTGCAAGAGGCCTTATTAAATAGTCCAGGGCTGTGCAGCACACCGTGAACTTGCACCATGGAACTTAAGGCTAAGTCACGCCAAGCATCACCTCCTCTGATGAAAGGATGCCCTCCTAGGATGCTGTGAGGGTTCATGGAACAATTCTTGCAACATGCTTCTCACATCTTCAGTCCTCAACGGCAACTGCCAGTGTTGTTATGATGATGATTGTTGATGATCAGTGGGTGTTTTTTTCCAGTTCTTTCTAAGAATATGCCACCCAGTCTTAACTGGGAGAAGTTGGCAGACCATAAGCCCATCTGCAGCATGCAGAGCCCTCTCTCTGGGCTTATTCTGCATCTCTATCTCTGGCAACAGCAGCAAAGCATCTTTAGCGCCCAGGCCGTTGTCTGAGAACAGAAGATGCATCCTGTGGGCACACTGTGTACAGGGCTCAAGCTCAGGGCTTAGTACAGAATAGGTACTCTGTGATCCCAGGCCGTGGTTATTCATTGACACATCCCCAAGGGGGATGATGTTACCCCCACTTGACCAAGAGAAATGGCCAACAGGGAAGCTGACTTGCTCAGGGTGCTTAGCTGGCACAGGCATGGAAGGGACTCACCTAGGGGCACTTGGACATAGACGGGACCCTAATCTAGGCATCCAGGTTTCCAGATTTAGGGAGATTTCCAAAGCACCACTCACAGTGTTTATTCAGCCCATTTATGTCTCTGAGTCAGGCATGGAAGACATGAGACACCAAAATAGTCCCAGCTCATGCCTTCACAGAACTTCTTGCTGCATCTGGGGCAATAGGCAGTACCAGGAGTCAGCCCAGCTCAGCCTGCAGCCCAGATGGGTCATGGAGTCTGTTCACCATTTTCTCACACTTGTTCTGAGCCAGGCTGGCTGGGCCCTGAGATCAAAGCTGGACTAGACCCTCCTGCCACAGAGAGCATCGCTCCAGTGGGGGTCTGGTGAATAGAGGATTCTGTGACAGTAAAGGAGAGTGCTGGTCACAGAAAGGGTGTCCAGTGGGTTGAGGGCACTGACAAAGAACTTCCCAGGAGGCCCCTGGAGGAGATACCTCAGCTGAGCTCTAAAGGATAAGTAAGAGTTCTCCAGTTAGAAAAGCAGGGAGAAGGAATTGCATCAGGGCATGGGTGCGTCAACCAATGATCATTGGTGCTAATTCAATGCCAACAGGAATCCCCAATTTGGGATGTGGGGAAGAAGGAAACTTTATTCAGTGCAAACAGTTCAATTGTGATACAGCAAGGCTGTAAGAACAGCTCAGGAATGTTACAGCACAATTAAGAGAGCATGGCTGTGGGGCAGCCCTGGGGCGAGGTGGCCCTGGGCTGAGGCCCCTCTCTGGCTGGAAAGCTCTGCTCTGCCTGCTCTGTGCCACCTGCTCTGCTCCATCTGCTCTGCTCTACTCTGGTCCTGCAAGACATCTTCAGTGTTTCAGCTCTAGCCTGGGGAACACAGTCTTCAGTGAAAAGGGAAATTGCACTGTCCAAGCCAGAGAGGAGCCACCCCAGGTTCCTGATTGGTCTGTCCTCATGCAAAAAAACTGTGAGACTCCAAACACTCACAGTTTGATTGGTCCAAAAGGCACTGTCCTGATTAGTCAAAATGGAGCCACTCTGATTGGTCAGTGAAGATGCTGATGGTGATATAGCTGCACAGCTCCAATTGGACAGGGAAAGCCTCAGTCCTCTTGGTTGAAATACACTTCCGGGAAGTCCTTTATAAGGGCTGGTTCACATGTCAGGAACACAGGCAGTTCAGTGCAGGCTTCTCCCTGAAGTGCAGTTTGTGAGAGAGGCCCCTATTTAGAAATGGCTGCTAGGCTCTGCTTTTAAATTTGAGCATAGTAACCACCAGGGGCTCTTCTCTGTAGGTATCATCTTTCTCAGGGTCCACAGGTGGGAGAGGGAACAAAGTGGAACACCCTTGTCTCCACAGGCCGGTACCTCTGCTTGGTCACAATGCACAGACTGACGGACAAGCAGCTGAAGCTTCTGAGCATGAAGAAGACAGCGCTGCTGGTCACTGCCTCCCTCCTGGGCAGCCACTTCTCTGGAGAGCAGGTCGCAGCTGAGGTGCCCTTTAGCCCAGGGCTGTATGCCGACCAGGCTGAGGTCCTTCTGAGCAACCACTACACCAGCTCTGAGGTCAAGGTGTTTGGTGCCATGGAGATTCTGGAGAACCTGGAGGTGAGTGGTGTCCATGCGCAAGCTAAGGACGTTGGAAAGGACAAGGAATCAGGAAGGGCTGGATGGAATATGGAAGTCCTGGACCATCTCTTTTTAAAATTAAAAAAAAATTAATATTCTTACCCTGTTTATCCCGTAGCACATTGGTCTTTATAGCCTCTGTAATTATATTAAGTAACAGGACTTCTGCTGGTCTTTTCCAACTAGCAAGTAAGTATGCGAGGGCAGCACTTAGCACAGGGCCTCCCCAGCACACAGCCTGTGCCAGGGAATAGTTAGTAGTGAATGAAGGGCTTCAGTGCAGAAATGCTGCTGGCATGGGCAAGAAGAAAAGCCCTAATCCATAACCTGTCACTGATTCGTGCCCACAGGGGACAAGTGCCCTGTCTCTGGGCCTCAGTTTTCCCATCTACTGAATGATGTCCTAGAGTCCAACGATTTGGGAAGGGACCAGAGGTGCTGCCTGAAGGGGCTTGTTGGCGTCTGTGCCTGCTCGTCCTCTTGTCTCCTGCAGCAAACAGGGCTGAATAATCTCAGTGTGAGTCACGGATAAGTGGGCTGTGGTGACAGAGGGGCTGCCAGGCCTGGGATCAGGCTGCTGGCGATTGGCCATTAACAGAGTCCAGACTGTTCCCTTGAAAGGTGGTGTTTGAACTAGCCTGAAGAACGAAAGGACAGCAACTTGTCTGTTCCCCTTCCCCCAATTCCCCAATAAAAATCTTTAAGAAAAAAAAAGAAAGGTGGTGTTTGGTAGTTCATGTCAAGTTAGCATTTTTTAAAGAGCACTTGATTAGAATTCAATGACACTGATTTGTCTTTTCCTTCAAAACACCCCCTGTATAGATAGTGTGCTCCTTGCCCAACTTTGCAGAATGGCATGCTATCAGTTAAAAGCACCCAGGCATCATCACCTGCCTAGGATGTGGCACCTGGGCAGGGGTCCCCACCCCTAGCCTTCAAGCACAGGAGGGAAGCACAGCATCTCAGGCAGAAGTGGGGGTGCTCCCCTCCAGCCCTGACATCTCTCCCAGGTGAAATCGGGATCCCCAGCCGTGCTGGCCTTCGAGAAGGAGAAGTCTTTTGGGCTGCCCAGCTTTGTCACATACACAGTTGGCCTCTCGGATCCTGTGGCCGGCAGCCAGGGGCCTCTGTCCACCACTGTGACCTTCTCCAGCCCCACGACTAGCCAAGCCGTCACCATCCCGGTCACCGTGGTCTTTGTGATGGATCACCGAGGGCCTGGTCCTTGTGAGTCATGAGCCGGTTCACCAGCTGGATGGACCTGGCTGGGGAGGGATGGACTGGAGTGGCCTCGGGTGTTAGTGGGAACTGGAGGAGTCAGAAATGCAGAATGTCTCACAAAGTGAAGGTTGCGTATTCGGGCAGTCACACCCCATCCATTTTCAAGATGGCAGGCAGCCAGAGAGAGCCTATTAAATGTGACTAGATTGCCATCCTCTGCTCAGCACTCTACCATGCCTCCCACCTCCCTTGGGAGGTAAAGCCCAAGTCCCTCCAAGGTCCCAAAGGCCCCCATGAGCTGCCTGTCCGATTTATGACTCATTTCCCCCATGCACTTTGCTCCAGCCAGGCTGGCTTCAACTAGAGCCTTTGGCATTTGCTGTTCCCCCTACCTACGATGCCGTTCCCCCCAGATAGCCCCTTGGCCCAAACTCCAACTCCTTCAAAGCTTCCCTCACACATGGCCTTCTCCTAGAATCTGAAAATCTGAACCTCACTGCAAACACTCTTATCCTGGTGTTTCCTCCGTAGCACTACTGCCCACTATCAGCCTATGCCATAATTAATCTAATTAATTATTAGGATTCCTTCGGTCTTCCCCAGCTAGATGTATGTGAGGATAGCACTTAGCACAGGGCCTCCCCAACATATGGTGGGTGCTCAGTAATGAATGACTCCATTATTCTGTCATCATGGAACAGCATGTGTTGTGTGCCAGACCCTGGGCTGGGCAGATGCCTGAGAGGTGCCCAAACCTCAAACCCCAGGAGACAGGCATGGAATCGCGCCTGCAGTGAGAACGGAAGCATTCTAGAGATGTGGCTGAGAATGGGGTGGCACACAGGGTGTGGTTTCACCTCTGCTGGGAGGGGTTGCGGTTCAAAGGGGCCGCTGCAGCTCAGTCTGGAAATTAGTGGCCAGGGGAGGATGATGCAGTCAGAAAGACCCCGGGGTGATGTTCAGGGTAAGGTGCAGCCCAGGGGAGCTGGAAGGAGCCTGGGACTCCACACCAGGTCTTGGGCTTTTTTCTGAGAGAGGGAAGTGACCTGATCAAGCCTGGTTGGGAGTGGACTGAAAGTGTGGGCCAATGTCAGGGACACTTGAGACCACTGCCTTCTTCCTGCTGAGCTCAGGACAGCCCAGTGAGGTGGGGGACGGGTCCTTGATAAGGTGTGAGGGTGTGGGCTGAGGCCTGGGCAGTGCCAAGGTGGGCGCCTGAACAGCAGCAGCTTTGGGCAAAAGATGCTGGGCCCTGGGCGCACTCAGCCTCAGTTCTCAGAGCAGTGGTCCCTGTCTGATGCCTCTGCCGCTGGCGTCCAGTTTTGTGATTCTGACTCACAACTTGGCATTCTCAATACTACCTTGTCTTTTGGGCACTATGGCTAACTTCCGGGCAGCCCGTACCCTCCAGACTCCCCGACAGGACCGTTCTTCTGTCCCTGAACCATAAGGAAACCACAGCGTCCCACTGTGCAGCGTTGAGCCTTTCCACAAGGACAGCATCTCCTCCAAGGAGGGAGGCTGTTGGTGAAACAGGGTCAGATCAAGCAGCTCAAGTGGGAGGGGAGAGTACTGGGTGACAGCCCCATGGGACTGGACACTGCCCCCGGCCCAAGCAGGGCACGTCACCCTCTGACCACAGACACGGACACGAGGGGCCCCACAGGCTAGTTTAGTAAGTCACCTTTCTGCTTATCACAGATGGAGCTAGCCTCTTCCAGCACTTCCTGGACTCCTACCAAGTCATGTTCTTCACGTTGTTTGCCATGCTGGCTGGGACTGCTGTCATGGTCATAGGTGAGGCCAGCGGCACTGTGTTCCTTGGGTCACTCCCCCGTCCCAGTCCTGCTCTAACCAGCCACTTTTGCTGTCTCGCAGCCTACCACACGGTCCGCGCCCCCCAGGAGCTCAACACATCTCCAGCCCTCTCCCCCCGAGTCAGCCCTCGGCACAGCCCCCACTGTAAGTAGCCACCCTGCAGGCATAGCCCAACAGAACTGGGATGAAGAGGAGGGGTCCTGTGGGAGGAGCCGGGGGTTGAGGCCCTGAACCCCAAGTCTCAGCAGGCATGGCCCTGGGCCAAAAGAAGCAGCCCTCTGAAGCCTGGAGGGCAGATCTGGGAGCCAGAGGAACCTTAAGGCTTCAGGGCAGGTCCTAGGTCCTGGGAGACCTTTTCCCAGGCGGAGCTGTGCAGAGTGGAGAGGCTGGGGGCGGGGGCTCTGCCGCTGCAGGTGTGTGTGCTGGGACTGGTTCCCACCCTCTGGGGACACTGCAGTGGGCTCTGAGCTAGTTGGACTGGCTACTCAGAGAGGGGGATTCCAGGCAGTGCTGATGAGGGAGAAAATTGGCAAGGCCTGTGCCTCTTAATAGTCCAGTAGTCTGTGGCCCTCGCAGCCCTGTACAACTCCAGGGGCACCTCTCTCTCTGAGCGGTGTCTCCTGAATCTGCAAGGTGCCCAACCTATACAGCTGCACATGGCAGGTTACGTCTCCCGGTTCCCATTTGAATGTTACCTCCCCCGACAAGAAATCTCTGTGCTGGTGTCTACTGACCCACTGGTGGGGCTTGGCAGGCCTCAAGGGTCCATGAAGCGTTTGGAAGAGGACACACTTTTGTATGTAGATGCATTTTCTAAGGTAACAAGCTCCCACCTGCATCCCGGACCCTTAGTTAGAACCACGGCCTTCTGCCGGGGTGCCTCGCAGGCCTGAGAACTGCCGCCGTGAAGGCCATGGAATGCCCACCGGCTCATTCCCCTGGCTGACAGCTGTCCTCACAGAGGCGCTCACCCTTTTGTACTGCGTCTCTGACCCTCCCTGTGTGTTGGAGCCCCACCAGGGCCTTGGCCTTGTCTTCCCAATGTTTCAAACCCTTCCTCTCACCTTGGGGTCTGTTCATGCTGCTGCCTCTGCCCCAGAGGCTCTTCCTGCCCAGTTGGACAGCGCCCTCCTGGATGCCCCAAGGACCAGACACTTCCACGCCATCCCGGGACTCGCCATTTGAGCTTGCAGAGGTCGGGGTCACACTGTACACGTCCAGCCATTGCTCCTTCCCTCTGAGGGCTGTTCAGCATCCCCCTCTGTCCTCCCCTCTGATGGCCCAGGGATGCGTGGGGGCTTAGTTAGGAAGGCATCTGATAGAGTTTGTTCACAGACATCTCAGAGGAATGTCCATCTTCCTTGTGCTTGGTTGCTCACTTCATCTCTTTCCACCTAGATTTTGCTGCCTCATCACCTTCGATGCCTTTCAATACACTGCCTGGTCGCAGGGCCAGTCCTCCCTCGGGGCTGTGGAGCCCGGCGTACCCCTCGCACTAGGCGGCACGCACTGCCAAGGCCCTGGCACTCCTGTGACTCCACGACGGGGCCATCCTGCTTGGCCCAGCCCTGAGCCAGCCCCAGACACGAGCCTACTCGCACGCCTCCTGTGTCCTCACAGGCCTTAGTTAAGACTGTGTTCATAGCTTATTCTCACATATCGGACTTTGTTTGTCTTACTTCAGTCTTGCAAAGGCTGAGACTTTCCGACTCATTCCTTCATGCTGGTTGTCTAGGGTTTCGACAATGTGCAGCTATGCTTTCATTTTCCTAGCATCTCTGAAACCACTCCCTCCCAAGACTTCAAGCAGGCCAAGCTCTGTTTAGAAGTTGTAGATGATGTTACTGCCATGGTCTCAGGGAAAGGACTTTTTAATTTTTTTAATTTTTGTTTGGTGTTTTTCACTGTGGAAACGACTTCCCCCTAATCTGGCTCCTGCTAGGAGATGAGGGGAGTGAATGATGAGTGTCTGGTGCCTGCCCCGTTACTTCTCAGAAGCCTGAGGACCGCAGCAACTGAACCCCATGCGGCCTGGGCTCCAGGGAGACACAGACTGGGCAGCAAGCAACAGCCTGCCTTCAGCCCCTCCTTGGGCTACTGCGACCAGACTGCTGGCCCCGTGTTCTTTGTGTCCTGAGCTGTGGAAACATCTCCTGGGCTCGGCCCAGGCCCTGTGGGGACAGCCCCACTTCTCTATCAGCACAGGGATGTTGGAATGTCCTTGAGCTGGGGTCAGGAATCTCCTTTCTGTTTATCTGGAAAAGCCACTGTGTTCGCCCAAGCACAAAGACCCAGTGTTGTTTGTCCCTCTCGTACCACAGTCCCACCTCAGCATATCTGAGCCTCTGTCCTGCCCCCAGCAGAAGATGCCTCCTTGGAGGCAGCAGAGGGCCCAGGGCCCTCCAGGCAGCTCCCTAATGGGCACAGAGCCCAGGAGAGCGAGCCAGGTCCTGCAGACCTACCCTCCAGGAAGGGCCCAGGGAGGAGAAGAGGGCTGGGGCAAGTCCTCCCTCCTTTCCCTCCTCACCTCCTCAGCAACTGAGACCTCCGCACGCAGCTCTGTGCCCTGGGCAGGAGCCCTGCACTCTCAGGAAGACCTGGAGATGCACCCCAGGGCCAGGCACGCGTGGACACTGTGTGGGGTTCTGTGTGACCCTGAGCCGCAGCTGTGAAGCCACATCAGTCCTTTTGGGCTGGTCCATGTGATTTCTTTTGTAAAGCTGGAGACAGGGAGAATTGTGCCTTGCATATTACTTGAGTTCAAACTGACCACATGGATGTAAATCGGTGCATTTCTACTCGGTTTGTTTAATAAAGCACAATATAATCTCATAAGAGGTGTGTGATCATTGCAGAATTGCCTGAGTCCTGCCTGGGAGTGACCCAAGCCCTGGTGACTTTGCTTCTGGTTACATGGGTTTAGGGAGGAGGTCTGTCCTGCCGCCCCTGAACCTTCTACAATATACCTCCCTTCTGTGGCTGGCCCACCTCTGAGACACCATCCGGCGGTCAGGGCAGGTGGCCATGGTGTCTTCCCACAGCTGCCAGCCCAGGGCCCCCGTGGATGCCTTCCCTGTAGGAGAATGTAGCTGCCCTGCCCACACAACCACATGTCACCCAGTGTCCGCTCAGCCTTCTCTCAGGCACCTCTCCCTCTGCCAGCCCCACTCTCCCTAAGGCTGATATCCTCCCCAGGGTCACCAGTACCTCTACTCGGCCACTCCCCTCACTGACCTCTGCAGACTGGACATCCTCCCTACCTGTGGGCAACTCCTTGTCTGCTGCCCTGCCTCGCCTCCCCAGCCCCTCACCCTCTGCCTGTTCCATTACTCATGCCCCTCAGGGTGGATCCTCTGCCGGCCTTCCCACCCCCATTTGGTCCCCCAGTACCCTTTCTGCCTTCACAGAACAGTCATACAGGGCGTCCCAACAGGCCTGTGAAACAGGTGCTGCTGATATCCTTGTCACAGGTGTGGGAGTGGATGCTGAGAAATGAGGTAGCTGCCCAAGGTCACAGGCCACCCAAAGGCACCTCTGGTGGAGGCAAGTTGTCCCTGACATCACTCCACCTTCTTCCTTAGGCTCCAAAGCCCTGACTGGGAGCAGGGCAAAAAGCAGCCAGAATACACATCATTTCCCACCCCTTTTGCTGCCAGAGCCAACATGCCACTGTGGGCACAGAACATGAGCAGCAGTGTCCCGTGGAGCTTGTGCAAAAGTCTCCCGAAGGGAAGCAGTACTCACCTCATCGTCCCTTCCCCTGGCTGAGCAGACCACGTGAGTGTTCCATTTTGCGAGTATAGTGTGGCCGCCAGAGTCACTGGGCCATTGTACCATGGAGCCTGCACCCTCACCCAGGATGGCCCTGCTTGACAGGGGAGATCAAGTGGGTCTTCCTTCACAGCCAAAGCGAATGCCACTGATTCAATGGCAGCGCCTCAGTGCACACCTGAACAGCCCAGCCCTCACTGCTCGGGCCACACCGCAGCCCTCACACAGCACTCCCCACTGCCCCACCGGCCTGGAGACCAGGCAGCTGGGCCCAGGCCCTGGACCTACCCTGGCCGCCTACCCCCCCCACACACACACACACCCATGCCGCTTGTGCACTCCTGCTCTGGGCTCTGTTCGGCTTTCTCTTCTCTAACGTGGGCATAGCAGTGCCTGCATAATCACTGTGAACATAAGGTCCCATGTATGAGGCCTGTCTTTGGGGCAGTGGGTGGGTGAGGGGGTGTCCTCTCCTGGAGGAAGGGTCTGACCCCACTCGGGGAGAGGCAGAAGAGGGACAGGTGATGAGGCCTCAGCTCCTTGTGGGAGGCTCTGGGGTGGGGAGGAGGCCAGAACAGAAGTGCTTAGGGAACAAGTGACAGCTTTAGGACACACAAGCCCTGTCGCAGCCTGCCCATGCTGAGAAGCTAAATGCAGAATCTCAAAAGCCCCTGTAGGCACTGTCACTGCCCTGGTCCTGGTCCCTGACTGAGAAAAGGGGAGGACACTTTTCTCAGGACTCTGAGGACACAATGTGTCTCCAGATGAAAGGCGTTGTGCCCACACATGCCACTGTCACTGTGTTGGGGAAAGTTGTCACAGGGGTCCACAAGGAGCCCAGATGGAGAGAGAGCGTTTGTTCACAGGAAGAAATGGAGACAGCAGGTGAGCGGAGGCAGGGTGCTCCTCCAGTCCTCTGACCTCTGTTGGCATTCCCCGTGCTGTTGCCATCATCTGACCCCACTTCCCGTCCCAGCTGGGACTCCCTTGAGGGAAGCAACAGGCCTGATTCCACTATGTCCCCAGGACCTGGTACACAGGAAGACATAGTGTCATATGTTCAGCACAGAGCCTGCTGGTATACAGCTGTGTTGCCTACCATGAAGTTGCCCTGACTCCTGGTGACTAAATGAGTGACGTCCACCATGTCCTGTCCTCATAGGCCTGCTCAGCTCTTCTAGACTCAGCCTGTGGCTTCTTTATGGAGTCAGTCCATCTCATGGTTGGTCTCCCTCTTTTCCTGTTGCCTTCTATTTTCCCAGAATTATTGTCTTTTCCAAAGAACCCTGTCCCCTCATGATGTGCCTGAAGTAGGGCAGCAGCAGTTTGGTCATTTTTGCCTCCAACCATGTTCCAGGCTACACTTGCTCTAGGACCCACTTGTCCATCTTCCCTCGAGGTTCAGGGTCTCTGTAGAGCTCTCCTCCAACACTGTATTTCAGATGAATCAATTTTTTTCCTGTCAGCCTTCTTCACTGTCCAACTTTTGTATCCATATGTAGTCACTAAAAATACGAGAGTATGAAAATTGATAAAAAAAACTCATACAACTCAATAGCAAAAAATAACCCTATTAAAAAATGGGCAGAGGACATGAAGAGACATTTCTCCAAAGGACATACAGATGGCCAACAGGCATATAAAAAATGCTCAACATCACTAATCATTAGAGAAATGCAAATAAAAACCACAATGAAGCACCACCTCACACCTGTCAGAATGGCCATCATCAATAAATCAACAAACAACAAGTGCTGGCGAGGCTGTGGAGAAAAGGGAACCTTGGTGCACTGTTGGTGGGACTGCAGACTGGTGCAGCCACTGTGGAAATCAGTATGGAGGTATCTCAAAAAACTGGAAATGGAACTACCTCATGACCTAACAATTCCACTCCTGGGTATCTATCCAGAGAAACCCAAGACATTAATCCAAAAAAATATATGCACCCCTGTGTTCATTGTAGCGCTATTCACAATAGACAAGAGTTGGAAACAACCGAAATGCCCATCGGTAGACAACTGGATTAAGAAACTGTGGTACATTTATACAATGGAGTATTATTACTCAGCCATAAAGAAGAAGGAAATCATACCGTTTGCAACAACATGGATGGACGTTGAGAATATTATGCTAAGTGAAACAAGTCAGACTGAGAGAGATAAATACTATATGATCTCATTTATATGTGGAATCTAAAGAACAGAATAAATGAGCAAACAAAACAGAAATAGACTCAGAGATAGGAAAAAAACTGGTGGTTGCTAGATGGGAGGGGGGAGGGATGGGGGAGAAGATGAAGGGATTAGAAAGAGCAAATTAGAAGGCACAATATAGTCACAGAGATATGAAATGCAGAGTGGGAAATATAATTAACCGTGTTGTAAAGATTATGTAGGGTGCCAGATGGGCACCGGGCTTACCAAGGGTATCACTTCATAGACTGTGTAGGTGCCTGACTACTGTGCTGTACACCTGAAGTGAAATAATATTGAATGTCAACTATAATCAAATTTATATGGTCACAGGAGGTGGGGTACAGCATAGGGAATAGAGTCAGTGGAATTGTAACAGCTATATACGATGTCAGAGGGGTAGTAGATTGGGGGAGGGGGGTTCTCCCTTTGTAAGGGGTGTAAATGTCTAATTATTATGTTGCTTTGTACACCTGAAACTAATAAAAATAAATAAATAAAATAATTGTGATATAAAATATATATACCCATTAAAAATAATGTTAGACAGGAAAAAATAATAATTAAAAATAAAAATACGAGGTGTGGCTAAGCTTAGTCGGCATCTCTAATACACGTCTTTGCTCTTGGTGATCTTTCCTGATTCTTCCATTGCTGCCCTTCCAAGTCTCAGCCTTCTCGTGATTTCTTGGCTGCTGTCTCCATTTGGATTGATGACTGAACCTAGGGAAGAAATATCTTTAACAATTTCATACGAAGTGCACATTTAGCACTCACAAATGTCAGCATGCCCTCAAGCAGGTCCCCTCAGTGCCTAAGATGGCTGCATCATGTCACTCCCAGACACAGCAGCGTCCATAAGAAGAGGAACAGAGAGCCAAGCTCTCTCTCTTTCCTTCTAAGGACTAAAGACTTCTTTCCCAGAAAGCTCCTTAGCAGACAGCTCCATCACATCCACAGCTGGGGTTGTCTGTCTTGGTTCATGGCTGGTGAGGGCAATAGGACGGTCGTGTCCCTCCCTGCATGGCATTCCTTCAGGCTGGCTGGATGCCAGGATATCGACGCTCTTGACATCTTTCAGATAAAAATAGAAAGATCTCAGCACCTGCCCAGTTGTTTTTCTCTCTGATGATGATGTTTTCTCCCCTTTCCCCATCTTGACTCCTCTGGGGCTGGACAGAGCTGGAGAGAGAATCAGATGCACTGGTGAGTGGTCTGGGCTTTCTTCTCCCCAGAGGTGACCATCATTGTAAAGCACATTTGGGGTTGGCAAATGCACGTGCTGCCAGCAGTAGCCAGATCATCCCCAAATGAGTGCATCAGCAAAACCAGGTGGCACACAGCACAGTTCAGCTTTCTGTCCCCAAAACTAACCAAGCACTTTCCGCTCTCCAAAGGGTGCCAAAGACGCTTTTAGCACCATGGAGCGTTAAAAATATAGTATTGCATATGGATCTTTTTTTCTCCAGAATGCCTAAGTTTGACCAAAAATATTAACTCTCTCTGTCTCTCTCTCTCTCTGTCTCTCTCTCTCTGTCTCCCCTTCTCTCTGTCTCTCTGTCTCTCTCTCTCTCTCTCTCTCTCTCTCTCTCTCTCTCTCTCTCTCTGTGTGTGTGTGTGTGTGTGTGTGTGTGTGTGTGTGTGTGTGTGTGTGTGTGGCATCCTGGCAATGTTACATCTCAAAATCTGATATACCAGCTAGTAGAGAGCCCAGGGCCTGGGGCATCCATGATGGGTGGTGAAGGTCTAGTCTGATGGAAAATGCAAATCATTTCATCTCTCTGGGTCACAGTAGTTCCCTCATTTTCAAAGCAGGTATCTTAATACCTGTCCTGCCCCCACCCAGAGTACCTTCCGCCATTATGCCAG